GGACCATATGCTTGGAGACCTGCAACGCAGAGGGGTACCTGGCCCATTTGCTCAGCCCTCAGGGCACTTCCTGGTCTTTTTTTCCCCCTTTTTTTTAAAAAAATATTTATTTATTTATTCTAGTTAGTTATATATGACAGCAGAATGCATTTTTAAAAAATTAATTAATTTATATATTCTAATTAGGTATACATGACAGCAGACTTTCTAACCAACCATAAACCTATAGGTTATACCTGAAGGACCAGGCTAATAACACAGGAGATCAATGATAGTTTCTATTTTCTGATATCTTCAAGATAAAAATTGTATTAATTTTATGACACCCCCCCCCCCCCCCCCGATTTATTTAGGTGCTGGGGATTGAGCCAGGGCCTTTGCATATTGCTTAGTACGTGCTGTACCCTCTATCTGTACTTCCAACCCCACTTCTCTGTTGTCTTAAAGGACATATCACACACTGTAGATAATTTGGGGACTATGAAAAGCCACCAAAAAAGGAATTAAAATTCCCCATAATTCTGTCACTTGAAGATGATCCTTACTTAATATTTTGGTGCATTTTCCTCCAGCTCAGTTTCCTAACATACACCTGTGAAACATTTTATCCTTATTAAGATAAAAACATGTGCTATTTGTCACCAACATTTTCTTTTTAATGTATTGTGAGCATTTCTCATATCTTTCAATATTCTTTGAAAAGCATCATTGTGTGTAGAGACCTAACTTGCGACATGAGGACTGGGGTTAACAATGCTGTATTGTATCCTGGTAATTTTCCAAGAGATGATGATGGGTATGTTGACTTGCTTGGTAATAATCACTTCAATATGTACATTCATGTCAAGATAAGACAATCAAGCCATCGTGTTGTCTGCCCTAAATATACACAATAAGAGGAAAAAAGATCCTTGTAACACCCCAGCGTCTTCACTCACTGTCACAAAAGGTGCTGTTGAAAAGCATTCTAACCTGTAAATCTTGCATGGGATCCTGCATGTGTCCTCAGGGTGCCTTCCAGAGGTGGGATTACCATGTTAAGACATGTCCTCTGTAAGGTAGGATTGCTTCAGAACCCTGCCTAGCTTCCCACACCTGTTCATCTGCATGGAAATGCCACCTCTGAGGGTGCTTGCTTACCCTGGGTACCCTACTTTTTTGATTCTGTAAATCTTTAAGTGAAAAAAAAAACATGGTATCTTGTTTGAATTGCTAATAGTTGTATTTTGGGGCCATTTGTTTATTTTCCCATGAAGATGGGTCTCCTGTTGCTTGCAAAATATTACTCTTTTGTGTGTTGTGGGTGAGAGAATTCTTTTTCCAGTTTGCCTTTAAATATTCATAATGTTTTCTTTTGATATATAAAGAAAGTTAAAAATGTTTAACAATCTACTAGTCTTTTTCCATGGATGTTTCTTTTGTTTTTATGTCTGTAAAGGCCATGCCTCAAGAATAAATAGAAATTTATTTTTTCCTGGTTCTTTTATAATTTTTTTACTTCTAAATTTGTAATTGAATTAATTTTGATATGTAGTATGAGTATTTTCTTATCTAAAGTTTTGTATAATTATTCCACCAACATACCCCATTCTTTTAAAAGAATAGTGTAAAATGCTGGTTTAAAATGCTACCTGTTTGGACTGTTAAAATCTCATATCCTCTCAAAGCTATTTCTGAGCTTTTTGTTTTATTCCATTAATCTGTGTATCTTTGTTCCAGCACCAAACTATGATATTTTATTTCTATGTTGACTAGTATAAGCCAACTGTCATTATTCTTCCTTTTCAAAGTATCCTTGGCTATTTTCACCAATTTATTTGTCTATATCAGCTTCAGCAAGCTTTCTCTGCAAAGGGCTAGGTGGTAAACATTTTAGACTTTGCAGGCCATAATGGGCTGACACTAGTGCTCAGCTCTGGTGCAGAGCAGGTGTGGACAATAATAAAGGAGGCTGTCTTCTATTAAAATATTGTTTACAAAACAGGCTGTGGGTTAATTTATCCCCAGGGCTACGGTTTGCAAACCCTTGTTCTAGATGAATTTTTGAATCTTTTTGTCAAGTTCTTCCAAACTCTTACTACCCTCACAAACACATTTTGTTTGAAAAGGTACATATTCATATTTGTATAAAGATGTTGCTTATTACACGCATACATATTATATATGCGAACATATGTGTGACAGAGTACATATTATATGCATTCATCTTACATACTGGGAGACAGAGTGGAATTTGGTTAAAATGAGAGCATTCTTTTAAAATGATTTGGAAGAAAAATATAATATCTTTATAACATAAAGCCTTCCCATTGCAAACATTACTTTCTAACCTTCCCATTGCAAACATTACTTTCTATCAATCACAAAGTTTTTTGTTTTTTTTTAAATTTCCTTCATAGGGTTCCTAAAAATTCCTGGTGAACTTAAATTCTTGCAATTTCTTCCACTCTACTTACTGTTGTGAATGGGATGTGTGTCAGGGGTCTCACGACTCCCAGCGTATTCTGTGGTTTACTAGAAAGGACTCAGGGTTATAGTTTACAGCCCATCCACAAAGGAGCAAGACACATCAGGAGGGGCTGGAAGAACCCACCCTCGGTCTCCCTTTCTTCATTCCCTCCCCCACAGGATGCCTCACTCAGAATGTGATCCTGTCTCTAGCATCAAATGTGGCAACCCATTTGATGCTAAATCTTTTGTCTCCATTTCTAGCTTTTACTTCATGTGCATATCTTTGGTTTTCTTCCAGTGCATACAGAACCTCTCTTCTGTTCATTGGGAGAATGTTGTGAAACAAGGTGGCTTGTGGACAGCACATACTGAGGGCCTCGACTGTCATTACAGACCCAGATTTAAATCACTCATGTGAAACCCTAGGGAACAGTTTTTCTCCCTGCTTCTTTTTTCTAACTCTTCTCTGTCTTCAGTCATCAGAAATATTCTTCTCCCTCAGCTCATTCAAAGAAAAGCTGATCTTAACTTCAGTGTGAAGATGAAAATCTTGGAAAGCCCACTTAATAAGTGGGATGGGATAATCTCTGGTCTGTCTTAAGGCAGGATTAAACTACCTTTTGCAGGAGACTGGTTCTCTTTGTAGTTTGACCCTGCTTTTACCAAAAAGACAAAAGGAAATATTTCAAGCCTATTCTGCAGCCAGGATTTAAAGATGGTTCCTCCACCCCCCTTGGTAACCAGGGAGAGCCTGCCAGGCAACCCAGACTGGTTCCATGGCCTTTTTCCCTTCCTGCAGGTCCTTCTCTCAGTTACCTTTTTCTTCTCTAGGTCTCCAGCTTCCTGGAGGTTAGGGGACAGCTAGAATTTTAATTGCTTCTTAATCTAAAATCCCTCCAATGAGTGGCAAAAGCCTGGCATTCTGAGAGTGAGACATATGATGTAAATAGCACTGATGAAGGATTTTGAGGTTTTTTTTTTTGTTGTTTGTTTGTTTGTTTCGGTGGTGCCTGGGGATTGAACCCAGAGCCTTGTGCATGCGAGGCAAGCATTCTACCAACTGAGCTATGTCCCCAGCCCATGAATCTGAGTTCTAACCACAATGTAAGTGACTTACATCAGAGCCTCCTTTCAAACTTGGGATGTGGTATGACAGCAGAAATACAAAATCAAAAGTCATGCTCAGAGCCCATCTTCAGTTGGGGTTCAGAAGAACCCAGGTGGTGCTTCAGGGTTGGAGCTAAGCTGAGAGGGAAGTGAAGGGGGATGGGGATGAGCTCTCTGAGAGGCTTGCTGGGATCTGAGTGCTGGTGAGCAGGGCTTCCCTTCCCCTGCTGCTTGTTTTCAACTTTCCTTAGGATCAACTTAATCTCTTCAAATTAAGAGACCACAAATCATCTTGTATTCCTCTAGGATGCTTTTCTTCTTCCATTCTTTCTTTTTGTCTTCATGCTTCATCTTAGCAGGAAGAGTGCTAGCTCCCTGTTGGTCTGTTTCAGGCATCCCTTAGCCCTTTTATTCAAACTCATGTTTATATTTCATACTTGTTTGCAATTTCCTGCTTGGCATGGGCAAAGATGCACCTGTAGTGGCACCAAACAGCCATGGCTGCAGTGCTTTCACTAGACATTCAACCCTCTGTGTGTGAGAATTCAGCACCCTTGGATTCAACCGACCATGAGTTGAAAACATTGAAAAAAAAAATGCATTAGTACCAAATACATACAGACATTTCTCTTGTCATTACTACCTGATACTATCAAACAGCTATTTACATAGCATTTTCATTGTTCAGGTATTATAAGTCTTTTAGAGGTGATGTAAAATATATGGAGGCTATGCATAGATTATATATAGGTACTACTACATCATTCTGTTAAGGACTTGAGCATCTGAGTCTTTTGGTATCCTTGAATGGGGGAGGGGGTACTGGAACCAATGCCATTAGATTCTTGGTGCAAGAGGCTACTATATAGAAAACTAGCTAGGGACCCAGACCATTGAAGGACACAGTTAAGGTTACTTTAACATAGGAATAAATTATGAGCTGTATAGGATCTTTACGATGAAGGTTTAATCATGAATTGGAGTGGGTTTTTCAAGAAGTTTGTAATGTAGAATAGGTTTTCTTTATAACAAGAGCCAATCTTCTTTCTCTTCCTGCCACATTTTATCTGTCCACTCAGGAAACATCAGTTAATTTTGATAGCAGCCCAAAGAAAACATAATTGGGTATTAAAGTTTCTCTCAATATCTATGTATCTATCTCTGAAACTTCTACCTTTTTCCTCTTCTTGCCTTCTCACCACTGTTATAAATTGTCCAAAACACCTCCTTTCTCATAAAGCTAAATAATTGAGGAGTGCATTTCCAAATACAATAATTAGGATGTAAAGCACCTTACCATATGTATTCAATTGCATTTTAAATGTTAATTTTGAGTTGTTTCCTGATTCTAGAGGAAATAGTTCTATGCATGTACTTCCCCACCAGTGCTGGCTGTGCTGTGTGACCCTTCAGTAACAGAATGTTGCTTGGATCTGTTTCAGAGTTCCCTAAAGAGAAGAGGCAGTCGGGAAATGTTCAAAGAGAAGAAAACCTTTAACCAGGTAAGCTGAGGCTTTTGTTCTAATGTCACATTTCCTACAGAGGAAGCCACCTCATTTTGAATATTCTCACAGACATCAGCTTTGCCTTTAAAACCTCCAAAGAAACATCACCCGCCAAAACTCTTGGACTCATTCAAAATCTCTATGGAGTGAACATTTTCTTTTCAAGGCTGTAGCTAATTCCTTTTATTTCTCTCTTGCACTGATAAGCTGCAGCTTTCTTTAGGAAAGAGAACAAACTGGCTTTATGTGAAGCATAACTAGGTGTAGTGTAGTCTGTAGTCTGGCAGTACTCTCTCGAAGGTATTTTGTTCTTCAGAGTCATTCACATAGTAAAATAACATAGCCACTGGAGGGTTGGGTCATTCATAAGCCATTGTTTTGTGTGTAAGTGTTTTTTTTTTTTTTTTTTTTAAACAACGTGCAGGGTGAAAAAATTGTCCTAATGGAAAGTAAAATATTCTAACTGGAAAAACAGTAAAACCTCAGCCCTTTCTATGTACACAGTATGTGTTCTTTAAAGCCTTCTTAGCTTTTCTGAAGTGTTGTCTTACTGGGTTCCTTTCTTCTTCTTTTAAAATTGCTGCTGTAGTATTAGATGTTGGAGAAAGAAGAGTTTCTGGGGTATCAGTTTGCTGAACTCTGAGAGCAAGGGGTAATTAGAGAGATGCAATAAGTTGGGGTAACTAAGAGCCTTGGTGCAGCCCTGACCCTGGAAGCTCCCCTCTTCATGATTCCTTCTGATTTCTGTGTCCTCCTAACTCACAGATCCCTTTGGTGTTATTTGAGGAGGGCCCAGCCAAGTGAGCAGCAGGAATGCCAAAGATTAACTTTTTCAACCCTCTCTCATTCCCCAAATCTCAACTTGAACTCCACTCATCCAGGGAAATTAAAAAGGTGCTCCATTGCTGTGTGCTTACACCTTCCTGGGCTCAGAGTATGTTTTCAGTTTCCTGGCTCTTGATATCAAAGAGCTTTTCCTTCAGAGGGTGATTGGTCTGTGGGTAAAGCAGGTCAACCACAGGAGCTAGTAGCTCCTTGGATATGTGTCAGTGACCCTGGGGTCTGGGGATGTGTCGAGTTGCCCCACTCAGCCTGCGGGATGATTGAGCAAGGAGTTTCTATTCAGCAGAATGGTGGAATGGAGCGCCTTGGGAACTGCAGGTCGGCCACCAAAACTCAAAGGAAGCTGGCACCCCGGCGCAAGGTAGGCACGTGGGCAGTCAGCTGCTGGGGTGCTGGCCGGATGGCAGACTTGCAAGCCAAAGAATATATACTGACAGCGATATATTTCTGTTGCTTGACAAGGCCTTTCCAGCTGGTGGCGACGGTGCTGGTCCCTGTGTGTCTGACCCCGCCTGCCATGCTTGCCTTCTCTGCCCGCAGCGGGAGTAGTTTTATGTGGCAAGTTGGACTCCACCTTGTACTTTTGTGCTGCATTTCTGGAGTTATCCAAAGGGCTCTTGAAACCAGGGCCTGATATTATTAAGTTTAGGATTCAGCCTTGACTCCTCCACCAGTCGTGGCAGAGTTTCAGTCACAAAGTAAGATGGGTATCCCGCCTCCCATCTTATTAGGAGTGGATTCCCCCACCCAGAACAGGCCAGCCAAGCTCAGCTTCCCTGGGGGCTGGGGGATCCTCTCCTACAGGCAGACCTCCCCAGCAGGCTCTCGGAGAGGGAGCCTGACCTTCCAGCTATCACACTCACTCCCTTGGCTTGTCTTTCTTTATAACTCTGCTTTTGTCCTGGTGGCAGGCCTCGTAGTGCATGCCTGGGTGTTGACAGCATGTTTATCATCTGTTAGAGTTCCTGCTGTGAATAGTTCCTCTCTTTAGGAAATGAGAAGACTTTGTGGACATTTAATCAATCCTCAGGTAATCTGCACCAAATCGAACACTGAGTAGGGCATCCTGCTGCTTTAACTGACCTGGGTTTAGGCTGGTGGTGGGCCAGGGATTGTGCTGCTGATAGTCAGACTTGCAGGGGTTGGCAGATGGAGAAGGTCCCAGACTGGAGGTGGACAGAGGATGGAGCGGAGGGTCCCTATAGCTGGAAGACACTCTCTTCTCTTCAATGATCCCTGCTGCCCAGATTTCCTGAGGTGGAGATGGGAGTCATTGAGGCAATTTTGGACTGTGGATAAATGCCATCTCTCCAGATAAGAATGGGCTGAGAACCTCTCCTGTCTTCCCGTCCTTGCATTTAATTCCCAAAGGAATTCATCTATAAAGTATTTACAGTCAGCCTCCATTTTCATGGATGTATTTTAGCCTTCCGTAAACTCAACTCCTTCAAGTGAACAGCAGAGACCTGTCACCTGTTGGTGTATTTGGGTTCCTCGCACATCTTCGTCTGACAAAAAATTGGAAAGGTGCTTTTGATGGTTCTACTATAGAAGTTCAAAGAAACTGGGGTTGCATAAAAATAGCCTGCTGATTTCAGGTACAGAAAAATAAATATTTAAGAGTGGATGAATGAACAAATAAGCAGCCATGCTTTTCTATCAGTATTGATATGAAACACAATGAATGTCTTTTATAGCCCATGTGGTGATCTATGTAGGCCTTTTAAAAAAATAAAAGATCAGTGATAATCCATTTTACTCAGTGGTTTTGAGAGGGCAGCAGCCTTATTCCCAATTAGTCACAGAAACTCTTTATATGAGCCTAACCAAAACCAAACCAAGTCCTTAATATAAACCAAATCAGAATTCAAAGACTATGTAACATTTATAGATCATTCTTCTAATGAGAAAAAAAAAGTAGAGACACTAGCTTCTTTCCCAATATTAATTGCATTTCAGACAAAGAAAAAAGTGGGTAGGGTCAGGTGAATGCCATTTACAATTTGTTGTATATTATTTTGGTGACCTTTACAGTGACCTTGTAGTTTGAAAATTCTGCTTTAGACATAAGGAGACTGGTTCACCAGGACTGTGCAATTGACCCAGGTCCCCAGATGGTAGGGGCCAGAGTTAGTATCCTGAGCAGCATATTTAACCCCAAGTCCAGCTGTGCTGGTTTTATTATTGGTCCTGAGGAAGACACTAGGAGTGTCATCATCCACACGGCACAGGGGAGAGCTCCTGGTCATGCCCTCCACATTGCACTGGCTGAAGGCCTGGTCATGGATTTTTCCTGAGTCTTCTTGGCACATCATTTCCCCCATTTCCATGGGTTTGTGATGAAGGAGAAGAGATCAGGGCAGGAGGCAAGGTGAAAACCCGAGAGGCACCAAGGAAGGTATGCCTTTGTCTTTCTGCCACGTGGCTAGTGGCTGCCAGAATCTGGCAGAGTGAGCCATTATTCTCTGAGCATGAAAGCAATGCAGGTGAAGCTCTGCAAGAGTTAATTCTTCTCTCCCAGAGGGTTGACTTGTTCCTAATCCTGGTTAGCAGCCAGGACAGCAGATGAGTCTCCGAGCTACTGACAGTTTATCTAAGTGATGGGGAAGCCTTTGCTGCTGTCTCCTCTCTGTCCCATCAGCAATTTGGAATTTCTGCTAGTGAAAGAGGAATGAATCATGGAATGGGTCATTGTTCCCTTGGTCATTGTGCCTGTTCATCAAATGTGATTAATATAAAATTTTTCCAAGACTAAGATGGAGAGTTCATACTGCTTCAAAGTACAGGGATCCACAATGGAAAGGTAGAGTTGATGTTGCACTTGGTCCAGAAAGTGCCCTCTTGACCTCCACCATACACTGTAGGCCTTCAGTGGTAGAGCCTCCTTTGGAGGCCCTCCAGAATCCTCTGGTATTCTGCTGTGCTACTCTGATTTGAAAACACTTCACTCTATCCAACATTTAGCTCCTTCCCTCAGGTATCTGGATTTGATTTCCTGCTGTGTCACAGCAGCTTACGGGAGGGGAATGGAACCAAAGGCCCTGAATTGGCCCTTGCGTGGTGAGAGTTTGGGAGTAGTGGGGGTGTCTAGGTGTGTAGTAGTCATTGTGTTCTCCCTACCGGTGCTTGGCACTGATGTAGCACCAAAACTTTCAAAGCCCCCTCTTGCCCATCATCCCATTGTTTCATCCTCATGTTATTCTGAGGTACCTTGAGGAAGAGGAGGCAGCAGGGTGGACAGGTGAATTGCCCTCTTTCAGGTATATAACCCATCAGTAGAAAGCTGGGCTCTTATTTGGGGTTGCTTGCTTTCCCCATCCTGGTAGTACCTTGTAGAGGTACTACCTTGCAAGGAATGAAGGGGTCTGCACTATAGATGAAGTGAGAAGCCACAGGCTGGATGTGGCCCCTGAATCCTGTTGGCCATACTAGGCTCTTATGAGAGGTTCTGAAGTCTCTCTGGTGGTTGCTGGGGGGGATGAACCAGGTTCAACTCACCGTCATGAGGGGTCACTGTATTACCAATGAGTGTTGGTTTATTTTTATTTTCTTTCTTCATTTATAACTTGTATGATGTTCTTCATGTGCATGTTTTGTTTTTTTTTTTCCCCCAAACTAATTCTTTAGTTCTTGTTTGGTTGACAAAGCAACATTCTGTGGGCCTTTCCTAGGTGCCTTCCACAAAGCCCTGGGCTCACCACTGCTTTGTCTTGGCTCCTTCTCCATGTAACTTGACAGCACTGACAGCAAGATCGGCGTGTGTGTGTGTGTGTGTGTGTGTGTGTGTGTGTTGGGGGCGAGGTGCGAGGGGAATCATCAAAAACACGAACATTTGGTATTTTCAAATAACCCTTCTCTCGGGCTGTTCTTTGCTGGCAGGATGACAGTGCCGATTTGAAGTGCCAACTCCAGTTTGCCAAAGAGGAAGCTTCCCTGATGCGCAAAAAGATGGCCAAACTTGGGAGGGAGAAGGATGAGCTGGAGCAGGAGCTCCAGAAGTATAAGTCCCTGTACGGTGATGTGGACAGTCCCCTCCCCACAGGGGAAGCTGGGGGGCCCCCCAGCACCAGAGAGGCAGAGCTGAAGCTGCGGCTGAAGTTGGTGGAGGAGGAAGCCAATATCTTGGGCCGGAAGATCGTGGAGCTGGAGGTGGAGAACCGAGGCCTCAAGGCAGAGATGGAAGACATGCGGGTCCAGCATGAGCGGGAGGGAATGGGCCGGGACCACGTGCCAAGCATTCCTACCTCACCCTTTGGCGACTCCCTGGAGTCCTCCACGGAGCTCCGCCGTCACCTGCAGTTTGTGGAAGAGGAAGCCGAGCTGCTGAGGAGGTCCATATCTGAAATCGAAGACCACAACCGACAACTGACCCATGAGCTGAGCAAGTTCAAGTTTGAGCCTCGCCAGGAGCCAGGGTGGCTTGGGGACAGCTCATGTAAGGGTGCTGGGGCCGGGGCTCCCTTGCAGGAGGAGCTGAAATCAGCCAGGCTGCAGATCAATGAGCTGAGTGGGAAAGTGCTGAAGTTGCAGTATGAGAACCGGGTGCTGCTGTCCAATGTCCAGCGCTGCGACCTGGCTGCCCACCTGGGGCTGCGTGCCCCAAGCCCCCGGGACAGTGATGCTGAGAGCGACACAGGCAAGAAGGAGAGCGATGGGGAAGAGGGCCGCCTGCCCCAGCCTAAGCGGGAAGGCCCAGTTGGCGGTGAGAGTGACTCAGAAGACATGTTCGAGAAGACTTCAGGCTTCGGGAGTGGGAAACCATCAGAGGCTAGTGAGCCATGTCCAGCAGAGCTCTTGAGGGCCCGGGAGGACACCGAGTGCCTGGCAACCATAAAGCATGAGGCCCAGCGGCTTGAGCGATCAGTGGAGCGCCTCATCACAGATACTGATGGCTTTATCCATGACTCAGGGCTGCAGGGCAGCAGCTTGGCCTCACATGGTGTCCAGGGTGAGGGTGAGAGGGGTGAGGGGGCCCAGAGTGAACCCCATCTTCTGGGGACCATCAATGTGAAGATGAAGGCTTTCAGGAAAGAGCTGCAGGCCTTTCTGGAACAGGTGACCCGGATTGGGGATGGCCTGTCACCCTTGCCCCACCTCACAGAGTCTTCCAGCTTCCTCTCCACCATGACCTCCGTGTCCCGGGACTCCCCCATCGGGAACATGGGGAAGGAGCTAGTCCCAGAATTGCAGGTAAGGGGGCTCCTGGCTTCGCCTCCCTGCTCCGTCTTGCTCTTCCTCCTTCTCGCTGGCATTGCTGCTCTCGGGCTGGCGCTGCTCACGGCTGCTCGGTTATGATTTCAGACCTGCATTGTACTAAAGCCTCCGGCGTCAACCAAATCCTGTCTCTTGGTTGGGTTTCTTTCTTTCTTTTTTTTTTTTTTCGTTTTTATTTTCCTTTGTTATTTTTTGTTTTATTTCCTTGTTTCTCCGTTTTCCTCTTTGATTTTTTTTTTTTTAACTGCACCACCGCTTGTGGTTTAGAGGCCCTCTCATGACACAAAGGCTAAGCCCAGTGGAGGCGCTAGGGATCGTCGCAGCCCATCCTTGCTCCTTTCTCGGTGTTTCAAAAACAACCCGCCACCCTGCTGAAGAAGCAATGAGGAGTTTAAGACCAAAGTACCAACTCCTGTCACAGTCAGGATGAGTAGCAGACTCGCTAACGAGCGCCCGAATCCCTCCTTGGGTTTACTACCAAAGGGACACAGTGCAGTTCTAAGAGGCCCTAGGCAGCCCAGACCCACCCACTCCCACTGGAAGATAAGCCAGGATGGGGGAGAGGAGCCCAGTTCTGAGAGAAGGCTGTTTTTGATGGAAAAAAATCTCGCTGCCGGCTCGCTCCCGCCACCCTCCCGCACCGCCGAGGGCAAGGGGCAGAGTGGAGCAGCCTTACGAGGACCGCTTTCCCAGGCATTGCCCTGGGGTGCATGGCCCCGCTGCCGCCCCGGATTGTGGCTTTTGCTGCTCGACCCACACGTAAGGAAGGAAGAGCCTTGTCCTCTGTGTCCTTCATGGGTAGTGTGCTTGTAGTCGACTTGTGGTTCACGCATCCCCATTGCATGCGCCTCATAACCAGTGTTCTGCATCTCCCATGCATTCTTTGCTTTCCAGATGTTTCGGCCCATCCTGTTGCTCATCCGCATTCTTTGTTCTGTTCTCTTCACTCTCCTCTGCCATTGTGTTGAAGCTGGTTTTTCTGCTCATGCTTTTCTTTGGTAGTTTTTTTTCAGTTGTCTATCTTACCTGTTTTTGTTCTCTTTGCCCCTCCCGCCCCTTTGTCCTGATTTTTTTTTTTTTTTTTTTGTTAAAAATAAAAACTTAACCTCCTCCTGGAAAAACAAAAAACAAAAAAAAAAACACAAAAATGAATCCTTCCCATGCACCTAACAGTCCAAACTGAGAGACCAGCTGGAGTGGCAGCTCGGTCAGGAACGAGGGGATGACCGAGAAAGCCTTCGCCTCCGAGCCACACGGGAGCTGCACCGCCGGGCTGACGGGGATGCAGGGAGCCACCGGGCAGGAGGCCAGAGCTGCTTCAACCTAGAGGTCAGTCCCTACCTTGCCCTCCCCATCCCACTTTCCTCTCTTGCCATGTGGCTGGCTGTGCAGTTTCTCATCTGGGATAGCGCCCTTAGGGAACATGGCAGGAAGACATGGGACCAGGTAGAACTTATATGGAATCAAAACTCATTGTGCATAATGACAACTGGACCTGCCACGCTCATTGTCAGATGGAAGTGATGGCTCACTGTAGTATTGTCCCCCCATGGACCTGCATTCCTGGCCCCAGGAGTGCCTGGAGGTGTGACCGGGCATGGCTGGCTCTATTTATGAGTATTCAGTGGCTTCTTATTCTACAGCAGGGAAACTTGGGGTGGAACCCAAGCTGGCTTTTTCTTAGGGAAGAAACTCTCCTGAGGGTTTTCTTTCTCAGTCCTTCATTGCCCATGAGTCATGTGACTCCTCCATGGTCCCTGAGGACAGTGTCTCAGGGGAATTAGGGATGTCTATTCCCAACCTGTGTGGTATCCACAGCTGTCTCTGTTGCCATGATAAACCCACGTGCACAAACCTGCAGCCACCTGTACAGACACCTGCATTGTTGTTGAGCCATCACAGTCATCTGCAGTCCCGTGAGAGGGAAGCTCCGAGACAAAAATAGCCCAGCCAGAACAGAAAGATGTTCCTGAGGAGTGAGCCTGGGCTGTTACTTTGCTGATCACTCAGGTTTTGGGCAGGGTTGGAACAGAAGGTTTGTCTATTAGAAAAGGACCATAACTCTGGAGATACTGAAAAAATTTTTAATTTCTCAGTCCTTAGAGGGATGCTAACACTTAGCTCAGAGGCATGGGAGCATCTCCTCCCAGGCAGGAGTGAGGGCGAGGTGGGAACAGCTGAATAACAGAGGTGGGTAAGAGGTGAAGCTCGGTTGCTAGGAAAGGCAGGCTGTTTGGTTAGGAAATAGGCAGAGGTGCTGCTGATGAGGTGGGGGGTACTGCTGGCACCATTATCAGAGGTGGGCATAGTGGGGGAGGGCTGCCTCGCCCAGAAGAATCCAAACAGCTCTAACCCTGGCTCTGAAAAGGAGTTGTCACATCTCTACCCTTGTGATTAGACACATGAGAATGTGAAAATCACCTCTAAATAAGTAAAATTTAAAAAGTGTTCAGAAAGAGTCTATGTAGTGCCACCGTTCTTATGTTATCTGGACAGGCCAGGCCCAACCTAAGAAGTTGGCACCCAGGTTCACATCCTAGAGGGAGGTACACATGCCCCTGAAGGTGTTACAAAAGCACACAGTGGTGCCAGCTTCCTTGGGAACAGCCAGAAGCTCAGCATGTCCTGCAGATCTCTACAGTCTGTCCAGGGATGGCTGGTGCCTCCTAATCAGAGTACCCAGAACCTGTCATTTTGTTTAACATTTCCTAAACACAGTCTTCAGACACAGAGTTAGACATACATAAGGTACATCAATTTCACAGTGTTCTTGTTCCAAAATGGCAAATACGATGTTCCTAGATTTTATACCAAAAGTTAAACAGAATAGCCAAATATTTGCAGAACTCATTTGGCTTTTGGGAGTCAGTGCCTCACTGTGGAACTTTCCCAGGAAATGCTTTTGTTAGCTCATATTGCACACAGGGTCTTCATCTGAGAATGCTGGTTGCTTGGGCAGTCACAAACTCACAATTATGCACATTTCAGATGTCCTGAGTGATCCGTCTGCAGCATGGATACCTCCGGAAAACTCATTTCCCAACCTTTAGTTAACACTCTACTACTAAGTTATTTCTAGGAGGGACATCTTAAGCCCTGGGGTTCTAACCTTAATGTGTCCATCACTGACTCAATTTCTCAGGCGAACCTCTGGGCCTCTGTTTTCTCTGGGCCTCTGTCTTCTCTGGGCCTCTGTCAAATGGGAATAAAGATGCCTTGTCTGCCTCACATGGTTATATGTGGATGATTCTTCGAACAAATGAGCTGTTGAATGAGGAAGTACTTTAAAAGTACCGAATGCTGTGCCAGTGTAAAGTAGGATTAAAATTAAAGACAGGGCAGTGTGTCCCAGCATTGCAGAATGCCAGATGCTCCCCTGGTCATGGTATCAGTTTCTCTTTCCACTGTAGCACTTTCCCCTTTTCTACTGGCTGTTTCTCTTCCTGGGCCAGAATCAGAGCTCAGGCTGCCTCAGCAGCCTCTTCCCACTGAAGGACTAATTATGAGAACTGTGGCTTCCTTCTTAGGTGCCCCGTCATTCAAGGTCTGTCACACAGCCTTAGTTGCGTAAGCTCTATGAGTTGTCAGAAAGCTCATCCCCTCCTGGACTCCTGCTGGGTGCTTATTATTTAATGCTGGTGCAGTAATAAGGTGCCACATGCACACACGCAATGCAGAGCTTTACAAACCAGCAGCGATTTTGGAAAGAGAAAAGTACTCAGTTGAGTCAAACTGAATATTGAGGGACAGTAAACCTGCATAAGAGGTAGATGAACAGAGCTGGGTGGTACCATTTGGTGGGCATAGGATCACCAAACAGTGTAGTTCAGATAGGAACATCTGATCTTCAAACTAATTCTCTCATTCTTTGAAGGAGCGGAAACGCGGTCCTCAGAGTGAAGTGGCTTGCCGGTAACTGCCCAAGAGGGTGGGTGACAGAACTGGGTCTAGAACAGTGTTCTTAAGACTGCTTTAGAGCTCTCTGTGACTGTGGGCACCTATCAGCACAGAGCCTACTACCTCCACTGGGCTGCATTTCTGGCCATCCTCACTCAGGTGACATTATGGCTACCTTGCCATGGCATGGTTGTTTTAGAAACCCATCTAGTTTCCTCTAATTTTAAATATTTCAATTATAAAATAAAAACCCAATAGTGGTAGGTCAGATTAAAAAAATAAAAATAATACATAAATAAATAAATAAAACCCCAAACATCATTTCCTAGCAGGGGTAATGGAGGTAATTTGGAGTTATGTGTCCTTTGTTCTTATGTCTTTATTCAAAAAGGCATTTTGCTCAGAAGACAGAACTCAAGTATGCAAACACATTCTATTTTTAAAATTTCTTAATGAAGCGTGTTCTGAAATCCCTTTGATACTATTGTAGTGTTTCCTTTTATTAGAAGAGCTGAGCATCGATCCCTCATCAAGCCTGGGTGGCTGAGGCTGCCTATCTCTGGTGTGGATATCACTCTGACAGACTTGTTTGGTCCTTGAATATTACATTGTGCCAAGGAATTGTACAGTGGGCAATTCCAGGAAGCAGAAAAAGCCTTTTAATGAAAACATCCCTAAGTTCACTGCCAACAATTTCCCTCCTATGAGGCTGTCGTGGACATGGCACACAAAGCTCCCATCAGTTAGCAGCACAGCCCAACGAGAGAAGCCACTCTGTGTTAGACTCACACAGATTCCAGAGTCATTGTGGAAAAGACAAACATGGGCACCCTCCACCCCTGTACCCCACCCTTTGGAGATCAAACTCAGGATCTTGCACATGCTTATGCTAGGAAGCGCTCTTCCACGGAGCTACAACTTCAGCTGCAAACATGGACACTTTCATCCAGAATGAGGCTAACATGAAGCTGGGTGACATACTGCTAGCAGTTGTCTTTGCTCCCTGTTACATTGCCCTTTAAAAAAAAACACTAATTTTGTCCTCAAGCCAATTACTTCTATCCCTGGGTGAACCTCCTTCAGAGCTCCTGGGAGGTTTAAGAGAGAAGTCCCATAGGACACCCAGCTTCAATGGTGTAAAAGAAACAACTTTTTGAATTTAAACAGAATATTTTTAAAAGAATCAGTTTTTCAACTCCCATTTGTGAAATGGCTCTCTTCTGATTTTGGCCTTATGCATTTTCATATCTGAGGACAGGGGAAAGAAGACATGTTATTTTTGGAAGGTTGGGGTATTTAGCCAGGTTAGCAGTAATAACACCAGGAAGGAGAAGAAGGAAAAGTCCATTCTTATACATTAGCCCTTTTCAGTGGATAACAAATTGGTGTTAGAGGCTGGCTGTTCAGATGCCACCCTTCACTAGACCTAGGAAAGAAGAGGTATATTCAAGGCCAGCATTCTTCAAAACAGCCACAGTCAGAGAGAACTGAAGTCAGAATTCACAAACACTAACCCACCCACTATTGTAATTGTGCAGAAGTTAACTGCTAAAAAACCACACCCAACCTAAACAACAGCAAAACAACTTCGGAAGCACAAGCTCATCTCAGTAGATATTGGCAAGATGGTCCCACTGTGTCCTGAACTCTTCCCTGTCTTCACCCCATGGTTCCCATTAGGTCTTCTGAGAGAGACACATTTGTTAAGAGTACGCAGTGTTTAGAACGTTTCATATGGAATGTGCTAGGAGCCTTAAAAATAGTTCTGAATGAGAAGTGGCCAAGCATGGACACTGGTCAGATTTCACATATAAATGAAACCAAGCCTGTGCCCAGAGGATTGAGTTTCTGGGTCAGAAATCTCAAAGAGCTCTTCTCCCTAGCTCTCCCTTTTATCCTTTAATCAACCAAGCACACGGAACATCTGCGATCCCTTATGTCTCAGCTGTGAAATACCAGCCGCAGTGAAACTACGTGGGGTTTATGCCAAGTATTTGTACACATGCATTGACCTCATATACTGCTTTTCAAAGAGGTGGTACCAGAACTGGCCAGGACAAAATGGAACTCTCACTAGAAACAAAGTTGTGGCAATGGAAATCTTGTAGACTTATAAATACAAGTAGCATTGGTGGTTATTATAGCATTCCTCTTTCTGTTTATTGAGATGGTGACATTTTCTTAAGGGTGGAAAGAATTTATAAGTCACTTTTTCTGGGGACGTTCAGGAAATTAACAATACGAATCATTCTGGGATTCAACCCCTATGGGCAGAAGGATGTCATTGGATCTCAGAATGCTGGCTCAGGGTGAAGGGTGGTCATGATGTCAAGATTAATGTCTAGAAATCCTTGGAAACAAGTGTGAATGGCACTCGTTTAAGTAAACTACCATATAGATCAAGGTGAATTTATTTGTTATATAACCAGAGTCTTAGGTAAGTGAGCAAAGGATGACTTTTAGAATAAAACCTTTGGGGAATTGATGGTAAAGGGAAGTATATTTTTTCCTAGAGGAAATGTATATGTCATGTGAAAATGTTCCCCAGTTGTATGTGATTATATGCAGTCACGTGGCAATGGGAGTCATTCTAGACCAGAACTCTTGCCTTGGCATGTTTGTATTTTGTTTTTGTAACACTGGAGTGACATTGGCATCCCAGCCAGGAGCAGCTACCCATAGGAGTTTTAATATTTCATTAGCAAAAATGGACCATACCGGATAATGAAACTTCTGATTTATCAGTAAGTTTCTGTTGTTAACCAGGCAACAGTCTACATGTGGATCTCAACGGTACTCTTCAAAGGTGTGTTTTAATCAGAAGAGCATATTTTTAATCAAATGATGTTGAAGTATGAGACTATCTCTCTGTTTAAAATAAAAATAATTTAAATATTTATTAAGATTGAAGCCAACCTAATAGTTTAGGATAATACAGGGTTAGCATCCCTAATCTGAAATATGAAATGCTCCCAAATCCAAAACTTTCTGAGCATCCATGTGACTCTACAAGTGAAAAATTCCATACCATGAAGTCTTTGTTTCATGCACAAATTTATTAAAAACATTGAACAAAGTTACTTTCCATCTGTGTTTATAAGGTATATACAAAACATAAATGAATTTCATGCCTAGATTTGTGTCCCATTTCCAAGATATTTTATTATTCATATGCAAATATTCCATAGTCCATCCCCCCCCCCCCCCCAAAATATCCAAAACACTTCTGATTCCAAGCATTGTGGATGAAGGATACTCAACATATATAGAAACTAAATTAATAGATCTTTGGTTTTTTTTGAACAACAAGCTTGATTAGGATATCTGTTTTAATGTGAAATAGTCCAAAACTTTGGCTGGCACCTAATGCATTAAAATACGGAGAGTCTTTGCATCTTAAATTTGTGGAATAATTTGTAACTAAAAAGTAAAGCCAGCAGCTGAGCAGCCCAGGCTGCCTGAAAACATTCTTGCAGAAAACAACTGAGTGGTAGAAGAGAAGACCCCTGAGGGTAGGGTTTGGGCAACTTCATCTATTACTGTAACCCCAATGCTTTGAACAGTGCCTGTATTACAAGTGCACAGTGTTTGCTGAATAAAATGCTGCATAAAATATAAAACTCCTTTTATTTACATAGCTGAATTCCAAGAATAGGGAGTCTTCAAGGGTTGGAATTTATTTCAGAATTGAAAACGAGCAATATCTGGGTTAGGTGGGTGGATGGAAACAAGGGACAGAGCCTTAGGCCCAACACAAGCAGGGAAAGAAATTCACAAGAGAAATATTTGCCTACTGGTTGCTGGGCAGGAGAGAGGTAGCAGGACACTTGTTTACACAGCATGGGCTCTGGTTGGGAGTGGGAACCACAGCTGGCTCTCACATGGGATCAAGCTTTGAACTGATGTTACCACTTTGGTCCAGGAATCCCCAAGGAGAGGGACTTAAGTCTTACTGCTGGCTTCTGCAAGTGCAAAGCCAGTCTGGAGGCACATTCTTAACCAAGTGGCATGTGAGACCCATAGATAACTGCCCATTGAAGATGAACTCACGGTGCAAAACTTCAAACACACAAAGACACCCATCAGCAGCAAGAGCTGGCAAGAATTCTAAGACCTTTAGATTGTAGGATTGTCAGACACCATATAAAAAGTGGGTTCAGAACTATTAAATATGCAGGTATATAGAAAAAAAGGGAAAATTGCTATCATAAGATCACACATTTAAAAATAAGAAAATATAACTTTTAGGAATGAAAAATTAGTTGAGATGAATTCAGTGGAATAAATTCCACATGTAGAGAAATGCCTCTTTTCAAAGAGAGTCCACATATAAAAAACTGCAATAACAAATAGTAAATCAAGAAGCAGTTAATTCAGAAGTTCTTGAATTTCTTAGGGTTGGATGAGTTTAGATATCTTACTTGCAAATTTTTATCCCAAATTTGATGAAACCCCAGTGGGTCTGATTTTCTTTTCTTCCTTTCTTCTTTCTCCAAGAGCATCCCCCTCTACCCCCACATTATTCCTTGTGCTAAGCGAACGGCTCTGCTGTTTTATTTTCTGCATTTCCTGTTCTTGGGGTATGATTTTTACTCATGACAGATTAGGAGAAGCAGTGTCCTCAGTGAGAAGTAACAGATTAATTAAAGGTCAACAAAACAAGCCAGTAAAATGGCATGTGTTTTTATTGCAACAATCCACTCTCATTCCCAGTTTTGTACATCATCTGCCTCCAAGTAGCACAAAGCAGTGGGTAAAATGTCTTGCTTACATTTTAATGATGCCTGAGATTTTTAGTATGACAGTGTTTCTGACTCTGTAAAACACATTTCATTTCAAATTAGTGACTCTGACCACTTTCTCATGCCTATTTGGACTTTAAAGGTAGACTTTAACAATAAAAATAACAATAAGTGAATCCACAGATTTATTGGCCTGTTTGTAACCTGAAGTGTAATAAGTAGATCTTTGTGTGGTTCCTCTTGGGCAGTGTGTGCCACTGAAGCAGGGCAGGTGGAGGGGAGTCATCCATCACCAGGTGATGCAGATAGCTGTGGAGCCCCACAACCAGCTCCTCCCCATCCCCCCATCCCCAAAGTCCCAGGAAAGTTGCCGCAGAGTCACTCCACTGCTGCAACCCCGTGTGCCATGTCTCTCTGTGTTTGTCTCGAGCTTGTGCAGATGTCTGTCCTGCGTTGTCACCTGAGGCAGAGTTCTTGTTTCCACTAAACCCCTTCCTTTATCCCACCAATCAGCTCAGGGGCCCCCCTGTTTTACCTGAGCAGAATGTATCGATAGAAGAGCTACAGGGTCAGCTCGCGCAGGCGGCCAGACTGCATCAAGAGGACACAGAGACATTTACAAACAAGATCCGTAAGGTAAATATTAACGCGGATTTCAGCATGACCGCTTCTTGGTCTGCAGAGCCCCTCAGGAGATACACCATGATGCATTTTAAAAGAATGCTGCCTGTCCTGTACAGACCCACAGGCATATAGAAAGGTTACCCAATTGAGCTACCCCCTCTCAGATGTGCCAAAAAGACAACTATCCACCATTTTGTTCTGGAAGACACATTTCAGCACTTTGGTTTCCCCTCTCTAAGCATTGTGAGGATGCCTGAATCCACAAATAGTACCAAATCCCAAATATATTACTTTTTCCTATACAGTACATATATACCTATCATGAAGTTTAACTTATAAGTTATGCACTGAACAGGATTAACAATAATATGTGATAAAAATAGAATCATTATAACACTATACTATAATAAATGTTACTTAAAATTTAAGAATTGGCTATTTCTGGGGTTTTCTAGGTAATATTTTTGGAGTGGGACTGTGGGTAACTGAAACTTCAGCAAACAAAACTACGGATAAGGGACAATGGTTGTATTTTACATGAAGGTACCAGGAAAGTTTTCCGCATATCTGATCTAAACTTTACTATAGCAGTACCAACCAGGCAACTGACATAAAACAAGGACCTTAAATGCAAGCAGACAGGGGAGTGTGTCTATCACCTTGCTCAATGTTAAGAGAATCTTCTGATAGGAATATCAACTCATCCTAAACTGTCGTCTTCAAAAATACTGCCACTATAATTGAGCTGTGGCCTGATTAACTTCTAGTTATTTTAGAATAACCTATTACAGGCTAATTATTCTTTATCCACTAAATCCTTTCCCAGAGCTCTTAGTAGAAGGGATTCACAGGTAACAGGCACTCTGGCTCTAGGCCTCCCGAGGATAGTCCAGTCCCTGACACCCTGCATCTAATTAAGCTATAAACAGATATGTAAATTCAGAATTGCTATCACTGCTCTTTTCCCCTTGCATTTGCTGTCGAAAGATAGCTGTCGTTTAAAATGAAACAAAGCAGTTGATATTGAATAGTGGACCTTGATATTCTATCATGCAATATACTATGCAAAGTAAGGTTCCTGGTATATCCAAGAATTTATTTTGGCAAGGAATATGTGCTGTATGTATATGCCTCCAGGGTGATTCAGGTCAAGAGGATCTAAATGGGTCACAAACTGATTAAAGGATTGCCTGCTACACTTTGCAGCTTAGGGAGGTTAGAGTTGAACAGCAGGGAATGAATATTCTCTGCTATCCTCTCCCCCAAGAGGCATACCCCTTTTCAAATGTTTTGCTTATAAATCAAGTTTCACTATCATTACCAAAGGAAAACAATTCCATATTGTACAAACGACCAATTCCTAACTAATTAAAAAGATTTTTTTTTTAAAGCATTGTACCAAAAATAGGTTGAAAAGGGAGTTTATCCCTGGAGATGCTGATAGTGCAATGGTAGAGTCTCAGGTGTGTCTAGTACTTGGATTAATGAGAAAGGAGTATTTTGAAGCAGAGACTTAAGAAATGAAGAGATATTGTCTTCAGGTTTGTTCAAAAGTTAAAGGAAGTTGTCCCCTAACATGGTCGTAGGGCAGAAGGTCAGATCTGAGATTTGAGAAGCACTTGGAGGCATGGAACAGAAGGAGTCAGAAAGGGCAGTATGTATGTGTGTGTGTCGGGGGGTGTCAGAGTGAGCCAGGACAGGGTGCTGCAGATAGAGGGGCATGAGAATGGCCCCTTGAGATGTAGCACCCCTCAAAATGTTATCTTGAGATCTTTCTATAGCATCTCAGGGAAAGAGCTGTGTTGGCTTCATGTGACCCCCGAGGAAGCTGGATTTTTCCCTCAGTGAGGCAGGTGGCTGAGACAACAGCAAGTGAGGGATTTTGGTGTGCCAGGCTGCCCGCACTTTATCTGAGCTTATATCCACAGGGTGATAGCCAGCGGTGGAACTCGCAGACTACTGAGGTACTGGATAAAATTGCCACTTTCAGCCTGAAGTACAGTAGATAACCATTGTCACCACAGTAGCCACAGAGACAATTGCATAGATCCTCAGACATTCCCACAGCCACTTCTGTCTCCCCCTGGCCTTTATTTAGCACATTAGCCGTATTGGTGTCATCTTTAGCATATTGGTGTCACCTTTAGGCAGCCATAGTCCTAGCCTCAGGTTCCTCAGAAATAATGTAGTTGTTTAGGATAAAAGAAATCACTCCCTTTTTGGCACAAGACAGAATGTTAAATTAAGAGAGGACAGCTGATAATGACCAGGCTGCCATTCTAATCTTTGTTTGGGAGGTAGGGTGGGTCTATGGAATAGAAACCTTTAATCTCATATATCACTTTAGCTAATATAAATATTATTCTTGTGCCCTTATCTACAAAATACAATTTTACTTACACCCTCTTGCTTAGTCACTATTGACACGTAATAATCATTTGTCTCTTGGAAGAGTGCCACCACACATGGTGGCGGGCACCTGTAGTCCCAGCTTCTTGGGTGGCTGAGGCAGGAGGAGTGCTTGAGCCCAAGAGTCCAGCCTGGGTGGTGCAGAGAGAAACTCTCTCAAACTGAAGAAAGGTAACAAAACAGGAACTTAGAGCTCAGGTGGAAGATTCTTCTTTTTCAGCAATGCTTTTATTTCCCTAAGAAAATCTACTATGCATATCTAATAGGTAGGTTCAGCCTTCAGTGTGGAAGTAGGTACTTACTTTCTTGTTTGCTGACCATTGTATGCAGCTAAAAAAAAAATTCCTTCTGGCTTTAACTGCTGTGCTCTCTGGCTCTTGGTGGGCCTTCTCTTGGCTATGTATTCTCTTTCTATGAGGGGTTTTGGGAAACTAGGGGTCTCAGGAAATAAAAGAAAAGACTTTCCATTTTATTTCTTCTTTATAATTGCAGTGCAGCCTTATGTGCCAAACTCAGGCACAGTGGGATCTACTTAAATGGCATTTGAATCAGCTGCAAGCCATTCATCAAAGAAACATTTTTTTTCTTAAGGGGTTTAGAGACATCTAGGAACACCATGAGAGACTGGCAGGGAGAAAATGTTTCTAATACCTTTCTTTGAAATAGCACCTGCTTCTGAATCTTAAAGCTCATGAGATTTTATACATCATATGCACCTCAAGTTGTTCATCACTCTAAACTTAAGGGGGTCCTATGTTTCTCATCTCCTTTGTAAGATGGTCTAAATTGAATGGCACTTTGCAGTTGGTTGGGTTTAGGTGGCAAATTGGAATGAGCCGTGTGTCAGTCTTTCCCTTTGATTTCATTCAAGATGGAGGAGGAGCACCTCTATGCCTTGAGGTGGAAGGAGCTGGAAATGCACAGCCTGGCTTTGCAGAACACCCTCCATGAGCGAAACTGGAGTGATGAGAAGAACCTTCTGCAGCAGGAGCTCCGGTCCTTGAAGCAGAACATCTTCCTCTTCTATGTCAAACTCAGGTGGTTGCTGAAACACTGGCGGCAAGGGGAGCAGATGGAGGAGGGAGGAGAGGATTTTACTGAGGTAAGGCCATCCATAGAGTTCATTTTATTTGCATCTGTTTTGTTCTTGACCCTAGACACTGCTGTCCCTTACCCTACACAGAAATCCATGTCCTGTTATTTTTAATTATTTTGTCAATTTCAGTCCAAGCCATGGAAATGCAATGGCTTATCCTGTTATATATGAAACCAAGAATTCCATGCTGTACTTGGAACTAGTTTTGTGAGTATCCTGGTCTATAACTCCTTTCTGCAATGAAGTTTTGAGGTCATCTCCTTTGTTCTTGGTTTATTAATTCATTGAAGTTATCACCATGAGGTCCTTTGCCATCTCATTCACCTTTGGTGGTTTATATAAGCTGGTTCTAGAATATCTGCTCTCCTTTCTGTTATACTTTGCGTTTCCAGATGCTAGAGCCTGTGACAGCCATAAGGGTCTCTTCTAAGTCTCACATGGGTCACTTTGTCACCTCTGAAATTCATATATATTCTTCCCTTTATGTCTTAATTCCTGAATTCAAAACAGCAATGGAACAGAGTTATTTGCTTTCTGATTGATTTTTTTTGTTGCTGAAATCAGAGTGACCTCTAGCTCCACAGGCTCTGTCCTGGCTTTGCTTTTTGGTAAGCATAGGCCTGGAACTGCTGACCTGTGCATTCTGTCCATCCACACCCAGACTACTTACCTGCTTCAAGGCATTGTAAATAGCTGGTTTTCTTTGAACCTACAAAGACCTTTTGTCTGCTTCCCACTCTAGTGAACAGGATATGTAATTTGAAGTTGTTCTGTGAATGGTGGGTGATTCTCTTTCCTCAGGGTAAAAAAGTTTTTAAAAATTAATTCACCCAGCTTCCAAGTGTTCATGACAGGGAAAACCTTTGCTAGGAAAGGCTAGAAATAAGGTTTCCTGTTGGTCAATACTACAGAATTCCTCTAATTCATAAAATTATAGCTAGAAGCAATACTAATTTATAAGAAGTAAAATGTCTCATTAACCTTTTCTAATAAATGGGTCACCCACACTATGCCATTTAAATGGAAGAAGGGTCAATGAGAGAAATAGCCAAAATGAGCATCTTAGGGGAAAAAGGCAAAGAAGGAAAGAACTTGGTAATCCATTAAGCGGATAGTTAGCCTCAAACAATAGTTTCAGTAGTCCCAACCACTTCAGGAGGCTGAGGCAGAAGGATCCCTTGAAACCAGCAATTCAGGGCCAGGCTGGGCAATACAGTGAGACCCCATTAAAAAAGAATCAGTCGGGCTGGGGTTGTAGCTCAGTGGTATAGTGCTTGCCTTGAATATGTGAGGCACTGGGTTTGATCCTCAGTACCACATAAAAATAAAATAAAGGTATTGTGTTCATCTACAACTAAAAAATAAATTAGCCAGGTGCAGTGGCTCACATCTGTAATCCCCGTGGCTCAGGAGGCTGAGGCAGGAGGATCTCAAGTTCAAAGCCAGCCTCAGCAACTTAGCAATGCCCTAAGCAACTTAGTGAGACACTATCTCAAAATTAAAAAAAAATAAATAAAAACAGGCTGACGATGTGGCTCAGTGTTAAAGCACCTCTGGGTTCATTCCCTGATTACATACACACACACACAAAATCAGACTGTATTGCAAAAGGATGAGGGCAAAGCTATGATCATCATATGCTACTCATTTCAGGGTGAGCATCCAGAGACCCTCTCTGAGCTTGGTGAGCTTGGAGTCAAGGGGAATCACCAAGTGGATGGACCAGACCAAGATGATGGTGACCAAGGCTCTGGCTTTCCCGTGGGGGAGTGTTCCCCACATGTCCCCGTGCAGCTTGGTGATCATGGATCACGGCTACAGGCTGTGGATGGGGGACCACTCCACAGGCAGGTGGGTGTCTAGATCAAACCCATCCTTCTGTCTACCCCTGGGAAAGGAGACTCCCCAAGCCACATTTGTGCCATCTTATTACAAGTTCCCAAGTCTGATGTTCCTGGTAGCAGGAAAGTCCTCTGACTGTGGCCACCTGCTGCTGTTTGGGATGCTGGATTTTTGCTATAAATCATATTGTTCAGCCTTTTAATCTTAGTATCAGCCCATTAATTCATCTGTCTTACCCATATAAATAAGGATAGTAGTCAGATCAGATCAATAGAATCCAGCAAATATATCATGGGAGGAAAAAATTTATAGAATCATCTTGGACTTATAAAATTGACCATTCTTGCAAGGAAGTGAGAACACTGAATACAATGCTTCTATCACAGCCAAAGAAAGAACTTCCAGGGCTTTTTGACTGTCATTAGCTAAATAGCAATTGCCAACATCACTGAATTGACAACATAATTTGTAAGGAAAAAAGAACAATGTTTTTTAATTTAAATTCTCAACTTTATAAAAAGTCTTTCAAGTTCTCTTTGGCCACTCGAAACATAATGTTCCAAATAAAAATATTTGATGAATCCTTGAAAAAAATGAAAGCATATACCAAAAGAGGTGGGATCACGGTGTTATTCAGTAATTATAAGTGTTTCTGAGCCCCACAGAAATAGACCCTGTTTTATAAACCAAAAGATACTACTGATAACATATGTTTGGTTTTTTTTTTTTTTTTTTCATTTTTCTACCAAATGGCAGCTGTAGTAGATTTGGAAGACTGAGGTCTTGGGAGGAATTGAGAGACCCTGTAGTAAAGCTATCTCACTCTCAGACTTTGAGTCCCTTCTGACCCAACTTTTCTTCTTAGAGGGCTTGGACAGCCAAGCCAGAGCTCCTGTGCTGCCCCCCTCCCCCAGCCCCCCAGGGTGTCTGTGTCCTGGGGTGAGGACACAGCCTACTGGACGCTGGGCATTGGGTGCGGCCTCAGCCTCAGGCATTTCTGAGCACTCCCTCAATGCTGGGTTCTGCAGCTGCTGCTCCTCTCACTCAAGCCTCCTCCGCCCAGAGCCACTGTGGGTCAAGTGGGAGGAGGTTGTCATCAGGACTTTGGCCCAGATCCAGATGAGGAAAGCTGTGATGTACTGAGCGCAGATAGGGAGAATTTGGGGTTTTCTCCCCAACTGCTCTCTCTCCATATATAAATCATATTTCATAACAAAACAGCTGTTTCCCTTGTATACCTATTCACCTTTCATTCTCCCTGAATAATGTGACTCAAGAAATGGAACAGACTTTCAAGGGAACCTTTACCCATCACTCAGGAGGTGCATCATTATGAGGGTATCTGTGGGGAGGTTTTAGATCATGGAAGAAATTTTCCAGCAATGATCTAGTTAGAAACTAAAATCTTACTTTGCAAATAAGGCTTTCAAATCTAGTAATTTTATTATTTTTAAAAGATGTCAATCAATCCGCAAAAATATCTGTAATTAACTCAGATGGTATTCCTTGATGGCCAGTTATACATAACCTGCTGCATCTACCACACATGCATCCAAATGCTTTGGAAAAGGAAAAAAAAATGTAACACATCTGGTTTTGTAAACAACAGTCACGGAAAATGTTACCCTTGGGGTGGAAAATAATGTAAAGTCACTCAGTTGGAACCGCCCACTCAGTATATTTTAATGTTGTTTCCCTTTGCCTCCTGTTCTTTCCAACACTAATTTTTCGTGATTGCCCTTAAAAGTGAGGCAGACATATGAGTTTCCATTACATATAGCATGCAGTAGAAGCACTCAGATGGGCTGACTGTAGCATACAGATAGTCAAAATCAGGTTTGTTTTTCACTGGATTCATCTGTCCACAGTAGTGAAAGCAAAGCTCTGTGTGCACAATGCCATATGTCCAAGGACAGAAGATTAATGAGCTCTACTGTAAGCGACAGCTGTTTACTGAGAGTGAACATTCTTGATTAGAAGATTTGCCTCTCTGTTAGTGGCGTGGGTATTAGCCAGGAAGCCTGGGTGCAAGAGCTAGCCCACGTGTCTTACAGACCTGCTGTGCAGAGCTGGGGCCTCTTCAGAAGCATGAGAACCTCATAAAGCATTAAACAGCTTGGGAAACAGGGCCAAATCGCTTTCTCAAGGATAAATGAGCAAGTAACAAAATTTCTTAGGCCTTGTTTTTTGATTTGTGTCATATCACACATTCTCATTATTGAATGTAGTAGATGGCAACATTTATCATGTCCAGAGAGATAAAAAATAAAATTACATGTACCAGTGTACCTTGGGAACAATTCAGGGAAGATCATCAGGTTGGCAAACATTTGGCTATGTTCCCTGCTTCCCAGTCTTCAGTTACATGATCTTGTGGCAGCGACCTGGTTATTCTTGAGCACAAAAAGCACTTTGAGTTTGCCTCTCTACCTGAAAGAACAGAAGCCAAGAATGCACAAGAGCCATGTGGATGGTTCTCACTGTGCTCCAACACACTTGCTGCTTTTTTGTTGGGCATTTAAGGTCAACATTCCTAAGGCTGTTTATGCATTTTTTACTTCTTAGTAATTCCTGAAGTTAGGGTTTTTAACTCAGGTGATTCGTGGTGCTGGAATTGTGACCCTTTGGTTCTGACAACTAGTCTTCCTGGCATTAGGTTAATTAGAAGATAATTTACTTTTTCATTCAAGAATGTGACATTCATAATGAGCTGATGTTGTGGCTCAGTGGTAGAGCACTTGCCTAGCATGTACGAGGCACTGGGTTCAATTCTCAGTACTACATATAAATAAATAAATAAAATAAAGGTTCATTGACAACTAAAAAAATTTTTTTTAAAAAGAATGTGACATAGTATTCTTAATTAAAACAAATAAGTGTAAAATGAAGAACCTAACATAAAATTCATAGCCTGGGCTAAAGGAATGATGTTTCATGTCTGTCTCTAAGGGTTCATCTGCTTCTGGTCACTGAAGCATCTCACCCAGTCCAGCCTCAGGGCTGAGTAGAATCTGAATACCTGAGTAGAATCTTGTCCCTAACCTAGGGCTTGGCTGCAGTGTTGGTACCTGGAGGGGCTGCCCTGAAAGTCAGCCCTGTCCTCCAGCCACAGAGCCTTTGGTTTCCTGGTCCTGGACCTTGCCCAGCTCTAGTACTAGCAGTAGGACTTTGTGGCTGTCTTCATCCCCTCTTTATGTGCTACAGAAGATTTAAAAAACAACTTCATTAAAGATCTCTTCTGTCAAATGAGGCCTGTATGTCAGAACTGTGAATTTCCCTAATTTTTTTTTTTTTTTTTTAAATAAGAAAGCTCTTCTCTCGAGTCTAGATAGCATTTGCATTTCCATTTTGCATGGTATACCATTGTTACTTCTTTGGACTCCTCAGCTTTACAGCCTCACCTAGGAGACATGCCAGGGAACCAGACCAGAGCTCATAATTGTGAAACACATGATTTAAATTTTTTTTCTTCTTCCATATTTTTTATTGGTGCATTATAGATGTACATAATAAAATACTTGATTTTGCTATGAATTTATTAATATTTCTATGACTCTGCAAATTGCACAAGCATAGATAAAAATTCATATATACCTGAGGGTACTCTATTTGCCCTTCATCCTGCCTTCCAGAGTTAACCACAGCTGGCTGTTTACAATATACTTTCCAAAGTGGTAAAGCTTTAAGCCTTGCTAAGAATTGATTTCTTCCCAAAGGGCCACCTGATTTTCATCAGACCTTCCCTGATTTCTTAGGCCTGTGAGCTGACGACTCAATGTTTATGAAGTATTTAACATGTACTACACTAATTCTTTCACGTACCATATTTGTTCTTGGTGAAAATTATGAAGAACGCAGGCACAGAGCCCTCCTGAATGGTACCCTGGGCACATTCTTGCCCAGAGGGTAAAGGACTTTTGTACATAAATGAAACTATCATTCCTGAAAACTTCCATCACAAATTATATTTTCAGGGTCAGTCTTAAATGGCCCATTCTCTTTTATCTGTAGAGAGAATATTGGTTTTAGAAAAGAATCTTAAAATTAGTCTGAATGTAACAGTGAAGGTAAGAAGGACAAATGGCTTATTTATAAAAATGTTGCTGGATGTGTGAATGTTTCTGGCTAATCTCAAGGTAAAAGTCTTGGGTAAAGGTCTTGTCTCAGCTTCCTGCTCATGAGGAATTGTCTTTAATGAATGCTGCATGAAGTCCCCCTCTTTTGTGTATCAAGTAGAACTATGCATGCATGGTTGGGGGTCAGGGCAGCTACTGTAGCATTGCAGAATTCCCCTGCCTGTGTGGGATAACATAAGTAAGTAGGAGGCTGAAGCCATCAACTCTATTTTGTGATTGGCTTTTTGTGGGTCAACCATAGCAGCAGGTCAATATGTCTGTTTTAACTTTAGATTAAACCTGTCTCCAAAGTTAATGGATCTGAGGCAAGCCAAGTAGAGCTAATGGTGGTATGATTCCATCTGATGCACATCTTAGAAAACTATGAGTCTGAAAAATAGCTGGCATTGTATCACAAATATATGGGCATATTACCTTATCTAATACTCCCCTTTTACTTTCTATGAATAATTTTTACTGTAGACTTGCATAGCAGTCTGATTGTTTGAAAGCCAGTTTTGAACCTGTTATAATGTGTGACACATTATAGTGCAGCAAAGCTCCTGATCTCAATTTTAGGATTATTTTAAGCCTTATCCAAGAGAGATGAGCCACGAAGGGCAGAAATGCCTTTAGAGAAGGAAATGGTGAAGCCTTTGCTAGAAAACCAATCAGCTGATCTGTGAAGAGATTGGAAAGTTGTGTTTTTGAGTTGAACCTTACCTGTACTTCACAAATGTACAAGCCAAATGCACAGCTGGGCCTCTGGCACAGAAGGTTCTGAAAGCTGCATATCCAAGATGATTTTCAGTATTAAAAAAAATCTAAGTGGGCCTGAGTCTTAATTTGATTCCTGACTTGATTTTGGTCATCATTTTACCCATTGCCTGGCCCAGCAAGGGGCACCACCAGGGGAAAAAATGAATAAAGTGACCTTTCAACATTTTTTCAGGATAGCTTACTATTATTTCCCTTGATATAGGAAATGAAATTAGTTTCATAGAGATTAGATGGCTTTTCTAAGGCAAAGTTAAAAGAAAAACCTTGGCAAGGTATAATGTCAGAATTTGAATATTCCAGGGTTGGTTTGTCTGACCTTAGTGGTGACGGGCCTAAATTGTGGTCCAGGCTCTTATCTCCTTAACAGAGACCTTGGTAATCCCTGATCACTAGAAATAGTTTTTCTTTTACAAAACAGGGAGCATGACAGTTTGCACCCGGTATTGAGGAAAATTGTAAATAAGGTCCTATAGGTAAATAACTGAGCAAAATTCCTGGCACATAAGAAATAATATCAGTGATTGTTATAACTATATATATATATCTTTTAGAAAAATCATGCTCACCCATGGCTCATTATGGTCTCTAGAACTATTGAGCAAAATTCTTGGCACATAGGAAATAATATCAGTGATCGTTATTGCTGTATATATATATAAATCTTTTAGAAGAATCATGCTCACCCATGGCTCATTATGGTCTCTAGAACTATTGACCCAAACATCGATTCTGACTGTTGTGCATTCACAGCAGAAGTTGCCCTGGATTCCTGCCATGTCACACACTGCTCCTGGGTGATTATGATAACAAATACCAATAGCGTGGGGTGCTCTGGGTTCTTATTCTATTTGGCATCTTTCCCCAAAGCAATTTTGGAGCTCATTCTATGTTGATTAATATTGTCCTGGGATCTTAGGATATTTTGTTGGTTACTCTGACCTAAATATGCATAAATTTCATTGAATTTGATATCTACTAATACCAAAAATGTATTCAATAAAATTTATGACCTAAATGTGCATAAATTTTATTGAATCTGATATCTACTAATACCCAAAAGTACTTGCTTTGCATCCAGAGAAACCAAAATTTTAATTTGCCAAAGGACTATAAAGTTCTGATTTTAATGTTATTAGCAGTCACATGATATAGGGGCTAAGAATAGCACATATTGAACCATATATGGATTGGGATTCATAGAAAGTTATTGATTATATGTAAGAATGTATTATGTGGTTCTCTACTTTCTCTTTGGTGAAAATTAGATGACAGCCCCAAAGACTGGGTCAAATTTATTTTCATTTTATGCTTTAAATTCTTTTGATGCAAAAAGTGTGATTTTTATGATGGAAATATTAAGAAAATATCATAAAATGCACTTTTTTTCATCAAATTCTCTGTGAAGATGTACATTTCTAAGAAGAGTGTCACAACACTTCTTCATCAATTGCATTTATATAATTTTGGGGTTTTTTATAAAAACTTTTATATTTTTAGATATTCTTGGTGTGGAATTTTGTAAAAAATGTTCTGCATTTAGGTTTCACACAGTTCATGAGCCTCTATCTTCTGGAGTGTAGTGGTAACTTATTTATACTCAGATGGTTGGAAGGATTGTAGGATCCTTAGAAGGTTCTCTGTCTGATGAAGTTTTCAAATGATAACTTATTTGTGCTCGTACTGCCTTTTGTTCTGAGTAAAAATTGTTGTTCAAGATGAGAAAAACTCAAGAGCAATGAATACTAACAAATAGGCTTTTCTCCTCCATCACAGGTCTCCTATCTGATGTCATAACTTCTTAAATTACAAGGACAACTACAGAGTTTTCAGTTAATTTGCTTAAATTAAGTAATTTTCTAGTCTACCTGTATTTAAATCTAAACATATCCCAGGTATCATAAATTCTTCTCATATTTGTATAGCCTTTGTGTGTGTTGAGTGGATCAGCTAGATGATTTTAGAAGGATGACTAAGAAGACTTGTGAGCATGCAGGATCTGAGCGGGACCCCATGCCCTTACTAATTGGAGCAGCGAGGCTCACTGAGGATGGGGTTCTGCCTGACAGTGTGTACTCTGTCTTGTTGAAATTGAGCTTGTCTGCATGTAACCGGACTTAGAGAGTTTTTATTCCTCCTGCTTCATAAGTGAGCCAAACAAGAATGTCCTGGGAGCCCAGGATGCACTCAGGTGCTTTCTGCTTGAGACAAGAGGCCCACGTGGTCTGTATTAACAAGGAATCATAATTGACTCAGTGTATTTAATTCATTTGGATAAACCTTTCTGATATAATGCCTATGCTTGCACAAATTAAGATAGAAATCATGGTTTTGAAATTTACCTTCAAAGGGCTGGACAGGTCTTAGGAAATATGTCTTTTATGTGAGAGAAACAGGTCGATAATAAAAACCCATTCTCCATTGACCAGACATGTCTGCATGCTTAACCTGAGCCAAGGATTGTGCAGAACACTGGAGATGTGGGGGTGGGTCAGGGCTGCCTCTCCCTCAGATGCGTACAGAAGTGGTAATGGTGGTGGGACAGGAACAAGATGAGCAAGTAGAGGTGGTTGTCATTCATGAGATTAGTGAGACCAGTCCAGAGTACTGAGGCAGAAAGGGAGGGCTAGTAATTCAGTCTCAGGGGACCACAACAAAGCCTGCAGAAAGCAGGGTAAGCACTTTACTATTGGTTCTAATTGTGATCCACCCAAAGTACCCTCCCAACCTCATGCCATGCTTGTTGCTGATAAAACAGTTTGGTGACCACAGTCCAAGTATGGCCACCCTATAAATATAGGAGTAACTAGGCCTTCATGATTTCTCTTCTAGTCTGACAGCCGTCACTAGAGTGAAAGCACGTATGGAGGAGAGTGTGGATCTTGTGTGGATCTTGAATGGATGGATCTTCTCATGTCCGCAATCCCTTGGCAGAGCAGCAGGCACAACTCAGTTCTAGATGTCTGAAGACTCATAGGGTGTCCTGGCAACCCTGGCTTTAGAGCCACCTGTGATTTTCTGCCATTTCCTCATTTCTGCCCCTTGGGGCCCTGGGTACCTCTCTGCTTCAGGTGCCCACAGCATTGGCCTAAGTTTCAGCCCCTGAATGCAGCAGGGTACAGGCGAAGCCTTCCCTCAGCCTCTTCTGATCCAGCAGTCCCCAGGAGACCAATGGCCAGCAGTGAGATCCTTTACTCTCACCTAAGTGTAGACCACCCACCCACCCTGCACTCTGCCAGCAGCGCCTGGGAAGCAGCCCCAGGGCCCATTGGCTGCGAGAGCCTCTCTTTTTCTAACATAATGGATGCTCTTTACTGAGACAACTGAGCCTGACCTGCTGTTCCCACAGGTGGTGGAAAACCAGCAGCTGTTCAGCGCCCTCAAGACCTTGCTAGAGGACTTTCGCTCAGAGCTGCGGGAAGATGAGCATGCCCGGCTGCGGCTGCAGCAGCAGTATGCCAGCGACAAGGCCGCCTGGGACATGGAGTGGGCCATGCTCAAGTGCCGCTTGGAACAGGTACCCATCCCACTTGGGTCTCCCTGCTCCTGACCACCATGTTTCCACTGTCCTGTTAAGGATGGGTGGGGAAGAAGCACAGATAGCCCTAATCCAGGAGAAAGGAGAGGAATGGCTGCTTGTGGCCTCCTTAAGTTTAGTGCCCAACCTTTCCCAGGCCCCTCATGTTTCTTAATATCCCCATCCTCAAGCATGAAACACAGCCTCCACTAAGGAGCATTTATCATAGCTTTATTCATCCATTCTGCACTCAGCAAGGTTGTAGGGCTCACCATAGGAGGATGACCAGCTTGAAGTTGTCATCATGCTGAGCTGACATAAATCTAGACAGGAGAAAGCAGGAGCAGACTGTGGTTTAATGATCTCTGAGAAAGGTGAACAAATGCTAATCCTTTAGATTTTCCAAAATATTGGAAAGAGCTTTTAGACCTTCCATTGCATGCCCTTGGAAGCCCCATCAGTTCCTATCTCCTTTTTACACCAAAGGAAATCGAGGCCCAGAAGAAACAACTTGCTTCAGATCTCAGAGCTATATAGTACTGCAGGAGCCCAAGTGTCCTGCATCCTCTGAGATTTCATACCCCAGCCTATAGAGTTAAGATCAAACAACAAGAGACAGCCTTTCTTAAGTGTTTCTTCCCTGGAAATCCTTTAAAGTTAGATGTTTCCTATAGTGTGCTGCTCATAGTCTCATTCAGCTCCTTGAATATGAGGAGGGAAGGAAGAATTGTATATCTGCTATCATCTATTTCCTAGGCTCTGTTTGGAGGCAAATCATAAAGTCATTAAAATTTTATAGGAATTGGCTCAGTCATGAAAGAAAAAAAAAAAAAAAGGAGACATCTTTTGATCAGTCTTGATAAAAGACAAAGAGTCTTTCATGTCCCCAACTCTCTTGGTTCCTACATGTTCACCTGCACTGCCACCTGGCCCCAGGTACCCACAGTTCACCTACATTGTCACCTGACCCCAGCAACAGTGGGGTTGGGCTAACAGTCCTGTGTGGAGCCAGGGACACAATATTCCAGGTCAGACCCATCAGGTGTTAGAGCCATGAGCTGGTGTGGCTACTGTCCACTGCTGGTAGGGGATGCTCACTGGATGTTCTATTTATCTTAGTACACAGCATGCAGAGTCAGCCGAGGAGGAGAAATGAGTAAGCATGCTCTCTGATTAGCTGCCTTTAAACCTATTTAAAGATATGTGCTCGGGGTAAAGGGTGCTAAATATTTTCAGAGATACAAGTGTAGCTAAAGAAGGGAGATATAATCTTTGATGCAAGCCAGTTTCAAAATCTTTGTTTTAGAGCAACCTGGTATCCGCCCACATGTTTGCTACAAACAAAGCCTCAGGGAGAGTCACCACACACCAAGAAACAAAGCTAGGGCTTCAAACCTAGAAGGCAGTGGTACTAGGTAGAGCTCTTCTTCTGCCCAAATTGTTTAGGAAGTTTCTTCAACATGTGAAGCCCAAGAAGCAATGAATGCGGACTAGGGCTAGTCCATATGCAATCATCCCATCTTGATCCACTTCTACCTACATGCAAAACAGTTTAATTCTAAAATTTAAATATTTTCTTTCAGTGAAGCCCATCTTATGTCAGTTCCCAAATTGGTGATTGTTTTAACTGACATGAAAGTCAGACCTTGTTCCAGCTGCTGAGGATTCAGCAATAATACCACATTCCTCAAAGGGGCTTCCAGTGCAGTATGGCTATTGTTCATAGTGGTACAGAAAGTACCTGCTTGCTTGTGCATGGCCCATGAGGAACTGGAGTAAGCAGGCCACACACCTCAGCTTGAGGCTCAAGGAAAGTCACTGGTGTAGGTGCTGAGAATGAATCAGAAAGGATGGCTGGGAGTTGCTGCATGCAGAAGGAGAATGAGGGTTTTTTTTTAATTATTATTACAAGCAAAAAAAGGGACAACATGAAGAAGAGAATGTGGCTCATTAGGAGCTCAGATATGAGGAGGAAAGAAGAGTGTTGAAAGAATTGATAACTGAAATCTCAGTTTTGTCATGGAAGTTTAGATTTCTTTTTTAAAAAGATTACTCCAGCTTCAAGGTAGAGCATGAATTAGAAACCATTAGAGTTGGATGGATTAACTGGGGGGTCTATAGATTGAGATCAGGGAACTGCTGAACTAGAACAAGAAAAAGTTTTGTTTTGTTTTTTAATGGTGCTGAGGATTGAACCCACGGTCTCCTGTATGCTCTATCACTGAGCTACACCCCTAACTTTTTGATGCATCTTTACATTCACTAAACCCTCACTAAAATTTAGTGTGCTCTCTGAACATAAATGTAGGCAACAGGCCTGTAGAAATCACAGGTCTTTTCATTTCATATTTCAGTTATTGTGGTAATGAGAAGGAGACCTTTGGCTTCAAAGGTCTAGGAACAGTAGAACAGGTGAGAAATGGGTTACTTTAAAGAAAACGGTAACCATGAAAGTGGAGATGAGGGTGCGATTAAAAGGAAAAAAAATAAATAAAAAGTAGAAAGTAGCAGGACCTGGTGACCCTTTAAATAGATGCTGTGGAGTGGCAAGCAGCTAGCAGGCTCTTGGGTTTCTAGTGTGGGTACCTGGGTGATAGTACTCTTCACCAAGACAGGGACCAGGGAGAGAAGACAGTTGAGCTGGAGAAGGAAGAGGCTGGATTTGAAGGGTCTACCTTGATAGGTAAAGGGGAAATAGCAGGCCAGGCTAAAGATATATGTATGGTCATGGATCATTAAACAACAGGAACGCATACTGAGAAATTTGTCATTATGAGATGTCCTCGTATGAATATCATAGAATATTCTTAAACTAAGATGTCTGTTCTTCGTTGGCAATATAATCTCACAAGAACACTGTAGTTCTTGTAGTCTGTTGTTGACTAAAATGCCTTTATGTGATTCATGGCTGCACCTGAGAATAAATAGGTGGTAGTTCAAGTCATGGCTGTGAGTGGAATCCTCAGAACCATGCAGAATAAGAGAGGCTCAAAGAAGGAACTTGAAATAGCAGCCAGAAAAATGAGCAACCAGAGAAATCTATGGAAATCCAGGAACAAATGTTGTCCCAGAACCCAAGAGAAGAGAGGCCACAGAATTCGATGGAGTTTGACACAGATGCTTTGGAGAGGTCAGGATGGATAAAAGCTAAAAGAGTTTTATTGAACTGATAATTAGGATGTCACTGGAAAAGTTAACAGCAGTCCTCACTGGACTCTGGGGCTAATGCATGTTACAATGCAAGGGGAGTAAAGGAAGAAAGAGGGCAGCCTCTTAAGTGAAAGGAGATGGTCATGGGAGTATGCTGACTTGTTTTTAGAAGTCAAGGGGGACTTTATTGTGTGGGGTTATCAAAGACAATAGGATTCATAAGTCGGCTGCTAGATTGGGATCTGAGTAGAGACGAGCAGGGAAATGAGGGGTTCTGATACAGAGGAGTTTGCTGTCACTGTGTCTGTGAGCAGGTTAGCAGAAGTCATTTGCTGTCGTGGAATGGTAACTGCTTGAGGAGATGCCAAAGAGGAAGAGCTGATTGCTAGAGAGCACTTGGGATCTGTCTGCAAAAGCAAAAGCATCAGCACCACGTCTTTCACTTTGGCTTATATGGATTGCTCAGAGAGAGCTGTAGTAAATTGAAATTCTATGGAAGTGCATGGTTCCTAATTATCTTCTGTCTAATTGTGAATGTTTTGCCCCTATTTTGTTTCTGTATTATCTTTCTACTGTAAAGAAAAGTATCATCACCACCACTACCACCATCACCCCACCACCTGCACATACACATTTTATAACCAACTGATCAATAGCATCCATTGGTTCTGCTCTTCACCTTCATCTGTCACTATCCCAGCCTGTCACTGTCCAACTGTTATTGTCCTCCTCAGGAGTTTGCCTGCCCCACCCAGCCCCAGACCTCAGTCTCCCTCTGTTCCTCTCCACGCAGGCCAGAGTCCCACTGGGAAAGCAGCATGAAGTTCTTGCCTTTACTACAGAGTTGAGGCTCTTTGTTTGTTCTCTCCCCACACATCCCTTGTGGGCAAGAACTTGCTGTTAAACTGACCAAATCCTTAGCAACCTGATACCAGCAGATGGGCTTTCTGAATAATACTGGCTAGCTGAAGTCTTTGAGCAACTGATTTCAAAATAGTTGAAAGTATCTGTTTAGACATAGATAATAAGCTATTAAATGGTTTTAGTAGGTCTTTGAATAGCTTCATGTATGAATAATGAAAGGAAGTCGATTTAATTTGCAGCGTTTACTGGTGACATTAACTCATAGCTAAAAATTAAAGAAAACCCACCCTGTTTCTAGTTTCAACTCTGTTAATAACTGACCACGTCTTTAGGAAAGTCCTTTAAGACTTTTTTGGCTTCTATTTCTTTATTAGTGGATTGGAAATAAGGTCATCCTATAGGATTGCTGTAGAACCAAATGGGGAAATATATGGAAATATATGTAAAAAGCCCTTTCTTTAGAAAGCGTAAAACTATAATATTTTAAAATTTTGCATTTAACAAATATAAGAGGTAGTTTATTAGTATAAAAACAAGCCACACAACAGCAGGCCCAGGTCCTTCCTCCTGTCCTTTATGCTGTTACCATCATAATTTACTTCTACCTATTCTTTGAGCACACTGTGCATTACAACTATTTTTGTTTCCAGTTAGTGATGTTTAAAAGCAATTACAAAGAAGGAAAAAATGAGTTTTATACTTACATTTATTTATGCCAATTCCATTGCCTATTCTTTGGGTAAATCAAAGCATCTGTTGGTATCATATTCCTTCTGTCTGAGGAATTTCCTCTGGCATTTCTTGGAGTGCAGGTCTTCTGGCAAGTATTTTTTTTTTCCATTTTTGTTTGTTTGGTAGTATTTTTCCTTTGTTTTTGAAGTATGTTATATCTGGGTATAGAATTCTATCTAGTTTGACCAGCAGTAAAGGATGTCACTCCATCATCCTCTGACTTGCATAGTTTTTGATGAGAAGTCTTTTGTAATTCTCCTTTGAGAACAGGCAGAGTATAGACTGTTTAGTGGTCATGGAAATCAAAAGTACTCAGATAAAAAGAAAATTGGGCTATTTACAAAAAAATTTTTTGTTTAAATGTTGATGGACCTTTATTTTATTCATTTATTTATGTGCGGTGCTGAGAATCAAACCCAGTGCCTCACACATGCTAGGCAAGTGCTCTACCACTGAGCCAAAACCCCAGCCCCAAATTGGGCTATTTTATGATTCTTGTTACATCATGATGTTTCATGGGCATCCAGGGAAAGAAGGACAAATACTAGACTCTCTACCATTAGAGACCTATACCTATGCCCTAAGCTCTATTTCCTTTCTACATCACGTGTCTTTTTCTCTGTCAGCCTTTAAAAGTTTCTCTTTATTTTTCACCAGTTATATATTTAAACTATATTTAAACTATATTTAAAAGATGTAAATAGACATTTTGTTTGTTTCTGGTATTTAGCGTCCTGGGTGTTTGACAAATACTATTTGAAGACTATTAGGTTCCATTGCTGTCCCATCCCCAGGTTCCATCTAGGGACTAAGGAGATAGGGATAGATATGGTACTTGCTATTGAGAGCTGTACAGACAAGAGTTGGTGGCGGCTTGGTGGGAAGGGAGCTGAGAAGGCAACCATAGGAAGGTACATGGGCTGGCTGATCAACATTCTAAGTGATTCTCTGTGTCAAAGGTTCTTAATTCAGACTTTAAAAACAGTATTTGTTTCTTCCATGGGTTTTGGTCCAGTATTGGTTTAAGCATGTTTCCAGGGATCATATGTAAATATGCTAAACCTCTTTTCACCCTTTAATGCCAGACTGGTCAGGGAAATGAGTTCCTGAGCCTTTTCTCTTTGACAGCTGGAAGAAAAGACTGATCAAAACTTAGGAGAGCTTGACTCCTCCACCGAGAGCAAAGGGGCCTTGAAGAAGGAGAGGGAGGTGCACCAGAAGCTTCTGGCTGACAGCCATGGCCTGGTTATGGACCTGCGCTGGCAGATTCATCACAGTGAGAAGAACTGGAACCGAGAGAAGGTAGAACTTCTCGATCGCCTGGACAGGGACCGTCAAGAATGGGAGCGGCAGAAGAAGGATCTCTTGTGGAAGATAGAACAGGTAAGCACACACCCCAGATACCAAGGAACAGGCAGGGTGTGGACTGCTCTATGGTCCTGGAAATCAAGAGTACTCAGAGGAAAAAAAGAAAATCAGGTTACTTTATGCTCCTCATTGCATCAGGATTTCATGAGTGTACAGAAGAAGAGGGAGAAATATCAGAATCTCTAGTAGTGAAGACCTACTCCTATGCCTAGCATTGTACAGATGTTTTTGTTGCAAATTTTATGGGCATCTTTCCTGTGTATGCAGGGATAGAGGGTAGCTTTTTAAAGGAATCTGAAAACAAAATTTCACCAAGGAGGTTATTTCAGGTCGTATTCAGTGATTTCTGCCAAAAAGCAAACTAATGTTTAAGTTAGCCACTAAAAATGTGGTCACAGTGACTGCTCCAGCTCAAATAGAATTGTAGTCATTAGGTAAAGAAATTGCCGAGTTAAGTTGAAAGTTAGGCTATTTGCTGTGATTGTACCTGCTGTGATTATTGCTAAGCTGTGATTAGGTAGGAGTTGAGTCAATGGAGTTAGCTGGTAGCTCATCATCTTCAGCTAAACAAACAATTGGGGCACTCAGATGAATGTGGAGGAGATGGGGAGTTGTTTTTCTACTGCCTAGATAATCAGTCCCTACATTGCATCAGACAGAACAGTTTGCATAGTTGTGGTAGTTCACAGGTGATGCACAGATTTGGTTTTCACATTACACTGATGAATATTTGAAATTCCTCCATGGCTGGATTTTTACCTAGCAAATAGTTTTTTTCCAGCCTATCATATTTATAAATTCACAAGGCTTCAAGGAGATGTATCAATCAGAAACTGAGATCAGGAAAAATAACCTCATTACTCCATTATAAGTACACATACTGCCTGCATCTAAGTGGGACCCTTTTAAAAAGGGTCCCACTTATATGGGTAAGAGATGGTGCGTGTTACATAGGAACAATGACAAAGATAGGTTTAAACATAATGTCAGCTAGGAAGGGAAGAAGAATAGATTAAGTGGTTTTAAAAAATAAGTCCAGGAGGAAGAAAGTGCACTGCAGATAGATAGGAGCAGTTCTTCCTAGATCTGACCACTCACACTAATGAGTCATGTTGCTAATATTTGCACGCCATTTCAAAATCCCCCAAATCCTACCAGGAGAAAAGTTGGCATTTTCTGTTTGGCTCAGAAATGCAGCACCTGTGAAGAGTTTTCCATATAAAATCCCAAGTGTCTGTGATCTGCTGAGTGAATTGGTCAGTTAGGTGGAAATTTCAGGGGTAGAAGTAGCATGTATTTTTACAGAAATGGTCACCAATATATCATATCTAGTTTTAGTTGACTAGTGTTGCAGTAACCCCAGATAGCTTATTACCAGGGACCTTCCCTCTTGACCTCTGCTCTAGGATCACTTGCCTTGTATGTCCCTCCTCTCTACTCCCGTGAAGGACATCATGTTTCTGCCATAGCCCTCTCAATGTCCCCTTTAAGCAAGTCTTTTAGATACTTATTCTACTTTTAGGAATGCAAGTGAGACCCACCTGATGACACTGAGCTTTTGAAGTGTCAGAGACCTTAGGATGAGCTGTTCCCTTGTTCTGAGACTATATTCTGGAGAGATAAGGATGGTCAGGAGCTGAACTCCATTTCCATAACGTCGGTATTGCAACAATTCTGTTAGAGAGACAGCCTCAGAACTTCTGTCTGGATTAATACCTTGGAATATCCCGGATCTAAGCCTGTGAGTTTCAGGCATTTACCTGCTGCTCAGACTTGGGTGACGGATCCCATTTTGTTTTAGAAGAGGATTGATTTAACACTGAGTAGAGGCTTCAGGTTCACCATGGTGGCTTTCACAAATAAGTTGAACCTTTCTTCCCAGATAGTCAACATTTTAAAAGAAGATTTTATAAATCTTGGTGCCTAGTCCCAAGAGTTGGGTATAGCACGTATAGGAATTCTCTGTAAAAGAGGACATTGGATCAAGTATGTATGGGTGTGTATATACATGTGCAAGTGTGTGCAGATTTTGTTTATCACTTACTGGGTTGTTAGTTCACTTGACTTTGAGCTACACATTCCATAGTTAAGGAAGAAATGTAACTGAGCATCCATCACAATGACTACTCTCGATATTTGACTCCTTGGTAAGCCATGTAACCTTGGCTATGATAACCTAGTACAGATGGTGAGAGAAGTCACTCTAAATCCATTTTCCACTTCTAGAACACATGCTTCATACTTGTCCGGTGTCATTAAATTCCTACATAATTTCTGCACCACATGAGGCATTTTATATGACAAATGAGTGTGGGAATGTGGTTCAGGTCCTACAATGCATTGCATCTATCTTATCCACGTCTCTTGTCTCAATCCACATTTGATTGGGGGGTAGTTAACTTTGATGGAGTCACACTACATTTCTCCTTAGAATTGCTAAGTTTCCAGTTAGACATGCACATAATGTCACTTGCTGCTGTACTTACAGAGCTAAAAAGGAAAGCTCATGTGTCATCCATTCGCCTTCCAGTAATTTTCTTAAATCAGCTGCCTTTACAACGTGAAAGGCCCTTCTTTTAAAACCAGTTAACAAAGCAACCTTTTTTCTTTCAACCAGTCTGGGTAAGGTGATACTCTTGAAGGCTTATTGTGCCTCACATTATTTGAAATGCAAATCTGTTAAATTTTCTATTTGTATTAAACATTTTCTGCTGCAAGATTGCAAGTACAGGGTGCTGCCGCCTGGTTTGAAATGACTGCCCTAGGAAACCCTATCTTTTAAGGACCCATTATTCTATTACCACACTGCAGAGGCATCTTAGCCACAGATACCTCTAGCTACAACCACTCCAGTTCATTTTTAGGAAACCTAACACTTAGCAGCTTTAGTGCAAGCTGTTCCTGGCTGCCTGGGTTTATTTTTGAAATCCCACTTTACTGAGTTAGAACGCGCTTGTTCATAGCTCTCCTCTTTAGTCATTCTTTCTCCCTCTTCGCACACACCCTCAGAGCACATTTAGGCTTCCAATGTGATTCTTGCATTTTAATTCCTTGCCCAAAATAGCTTGGAGATGATCATGTGTTAAAATGAAATTGCGCTGACATGCATTAAATGAACATAATTAAAAGCTTTCCTTTTTTTTATTTATTTTTTTAAGAAAAGCATTTAGCATATTTAAGAGAACTGCAAAGAACTGTGTCATTGAGGAGGGGGATGAGAGGAAAGAGGGGGCTGAGCTAAAACCTAGAGTGATTTGCTTGTTCCCTACTTTGACTGTGAACCTGCGTCAAAACCCTAACATCTATGCCCTGCATGCAGAATCTCCATCTTTCTCATAAAATAAAAAGAAAACCTCAGAAATTACTAAAAACAGTGAAAGTTCTTTTGTCCCCATTATCTCTCTTGGCTTTCTTCCTGATGGCTTACAGGGCATACTTATATCCAGCTTGTGGATAAAGGCTTGAATTAGGACTCTTAAGATGCAGTTTGTGTACATGCTTTCTTAAAAATCCATTGGTCCACATTCAGAGGAGTTTTAGAATATCCTGGCACCATCTTAGCACTTTAGGACTGCAAATATTTGCTTGGTCCCCACTCAGGTCAAATCCAAATGTCACTTTCATTATTCAGATAATTTACATATTCAAAAGATCAGGCAATCCAGGAGAGTATGTGAGCTCCTCATCCAGTAAAGACCTCATTAGATATTCGTAGGTGGAAATAGCTTCAGGTCCCAATTGTGCTTTCTGTACGCGTTTAGTAACAGAGGCAGTGAGGCAAGACTGGAGAAAGGAAGGGAGACTGGTCATAGTTTTTCTGGGAAGTATTTGCCTGTCTGCCTCAATCGTCTCCTGTGATTTTAAGTAGCTTCCTTTATGAACTGCCCCTAGGAGATCTCCCAATGCTGTTAAAAAAAAAAAAAAAAGGCAGGAAAATCATTTACCTGCATGCCCCTGGCCTTTACTTGAGCTTTATAGGTGTCCGGCCCCTCTGGGCTGCACCTTGCTTGCTGACCCCTGTCTGCCTATCCCCATTTTACAGATGAGGAAACTGAGCTGAGTAGAGTTGGAACTTCAACCTGTCACCAAACAAGCAAAGCCATAAATTCATGGCTCTAGTTCACATCTTCTAAATCCTAACTTTCCTGTGCTTGCCCATTACTGCTTAAATTTATCAAGTCAGGCAAAGAAGTGTAACAAGAACATATGTGGCAGTTTTCTTCTGCATCATACCAGATCTTTAGTTGCCTTTACCACAGAGCTTTAATCCTCTCCAGCAAAGTGGAAAGTATTTTTAATGCCAAATGATTATAACCCTCTTTGATCATTCAGGTTTTACATAGGACCTTGTACCAAATGCTTTGGAAAAAGGTTAGGAAAGTTAGGAAAATCAGATGCGCCCTCAGAAGTTTTTATATCAGTGATGCTATTCCATCAAGTGTGCCTTAATCGCTGAAGGTAATTCCGAGAGAGTTCTAAACATATTTAATTTTCAAAGGACAAATATGTAAATCTCATGAGCATGGTGCTAAAAGGTATGAAAAAAACCCATGTATTTTAAAATTAAGATGAAGAAAAAAATCAAAGAAATATTTGCATCAGAGTTGGCAAAAATACTTGTATGTGGTAACTGTAGACTTTTCTAGTTTTGTGCTTGTTGAAAGCATGTATGGCATTGTGTTACATTTTGAACTTAAGGTCAGAACTGTAAGAACATTTCTTTCTTGCCCAGTCTTTCAGATGGACCCACAGGTAATCCTACTTTGTGTAGAAAGGATGGTCTTAGGAGGACCATCAGACTGAAAAGCAAGGCTAATTATTATTTCCATTTTTAAAACTCTCAAGTTGCAGAAAGAGAACAGTCCTCGGAGAGGTAGCAATTTCCTATGTGATCAAAAAGAAGGAAACGTCCGTTCCTTTCCCCATCAAGGAGGGCTCCGCATGCCCCGTCCCATGGCGATATGGCCCTGCGCAGACACTGACTCTATACCGTTTGAAGACCGGCCGCTATCCAAGCTGAAGGAGTCGGATAGGTGCTCTGCCAGTGAGAACCTCTATTTGGACGCCTTGTCCCTGGATGACGAGCCAGAGGAGCTGCTACCCCACAGGCCTGAGAGGGACTTCAGGAACTGCCTCCCTGAGGTCAGCCTGGCTTTCATTTACTCTCGTTAACTGCTGCAGAATGAGGGAGTTGTCCTTAGATACCCAGCAGGAACCTGCCAGAGTCCCGTCCTGGCAGGCTCCAGTGACAACCTATGAATTGAGTGAAAATGAAATCTTTGCAGTGCTGAGGGTTTTGCTTGGTGGCCCTGATCCAAACTCCTGTTGTCATCTGTGGTCAGTTTAATTTTGCCACCTTGTTTCAGGTTGAGAAACACAGAGTGTCTTATGCAAAATGAAAGTCTGGAGAATAACCATGTTCCACAGAACCCAAGAGAAAGTAAAAAATACTGGGGAAATATGTGTTTTCGACTTTTCTTGAGATCATGGTTTTCTGATTCTAGAAAACTAATAACTGAAGAAATTCTGCATTAGAGAAATTTCCTGATGTTTGGAAGTAGAAAATATCACTAAACTATACTATAAATATCTTATTCTGGACAAAGTGGGGAAAATTCTAAAACTTAGAATCCACATGTAAATTAGATTACCAAATGGGTGATTAAAGGTGCATACTGAAAGTTCCATAGCATGATGTAGGTTTTTCTGGTTTTGTCATCTTTAAAACCTCATTTAAAAAATTTGTACTAGGAGTTATTTCCTGTGAATTAATTTAATAATCACTATCCATCATTTGGTCTCTGAAACATTTCATACTTGGACCAATTCATGTGCAATAATATTGTTGAAATATGGGAAAATTATAAAGGTTGTGTAACCCTTATTCAAAAAGCTAAGATCTAGAATTGTTCGGGATTTTTTTGAAGATTCTGAAATATTTTGCATATACATGATAAGATATATCGGGGATAGGACCTAAGCCAAACACAAAAATCATTTATGCTTCACTTATACTCTATACGTGTAGCCTGAAGATAATTTTTGTAGCATGTGAATGATTATGTGCTTGAAACAAAATTTCATGATAAGGAATCTTCCACTTGTGGTGTCATGTCAGCACTCAAAAAGTTGCAGATTTGGGAGCATTTCAGGTTTTAGATTTTCTGGATTAGGGATGTTGGACCTGTTTTTCAGTCCTTGCCAATGAGTTAAGTGCGGTATCCTCATTCGTGTGTATCAGGTTGGGAGGACATCACCACAGGTCACCCTGGTGGATCTAGAGGCAATGTCGTATAGTCCAGTTTCACTGCAGAGAGAATGTGGGACCAGGGGGCAAACCCTGGGTGGTAGTTCTAGCTGTTTTGTGGCTGGAACTGCCAAGCTCTTCTGAACAGCAGAGACAAGGGCACGCTGGCTGAGGGGGAAGTGCCCTCTGGTGTTTACTGTCCTGAAGAATATGTTTCATTACCATGAAAGGCTTGCTTCTTCAAAGCCACATCAGCATGGGAGTATTCTCTCAATAGACAGCTGGGTGTCTACTAGCACAGCTTTGGTTCTTCTTAAGGGGAAGTCACTGTAAATTCATTTCTGATCCTGAGAATGTTTAAAACCAAGCAAGTGACCAAGCCTAAGAATGTTACCATAGCAATTGCCATAGCAAGATAGGAACCAAGGGACATCCAACTCCTATCTCATTGTGTCATCCTCTGTCTTTCCCCTCTCCTCCCCTCTCCTCCACCCCTTCTCTCATACTGAGACTTATTCAGGTCATTCCAAGAGCTGACTTTGAAGTTTATGCAGTTGGGGAGGTCTTCTGAGGAGGCATAGGAGCAAGCCACTTTCTTCATGATGGGTTTACAGCCAGTTTTTCAAGCTCATATGGGCTCCTCCCTGCACTGTGGACGCTCCAACCCTCTCATCATGCTGTCGACTCTGCTCTTATTACTTCAAAGGACTTAGGGCAGTAGCACTCCTGACCAAAGTTTGGCCCCAGTGTGTTTTAAATGGTGCCTCCCCAAGGGAGCGGAACAAAACAAGTCACTTAAGCACAGTTGAGGATCCTAAGCAACCAAAATTAACTGATTCAGATGAACTTATTTCTTCTTTACAGGAAGAAGAAAATCACAAGGGAAATCTTCAAAGGTAAGTAAGATTGATAGAAATAATAGATTGCTGAAATAAAAATCTCTCGGGCTCCAGATTCTATCTTGTTGATGCAGTCTGTTACCAATCTTCAAAAGGACTCCACATTTAAGTAGTTGATATTGTATTATTTGTTTCATAAATATATGGTTTTTGAGGATGAGCAACAAAAAGGCTAGATATGCCATCTTCACACATGTATTCTTTTTATGGTAAGGACTTTCCAGTTATAGCTGTATTGCATATAAAAAGAAGTGTGTGTGTTCAGTGGTTTTGAAAAATCCATGGAAAACTCTCCTCGTGAGAAGTTTGGAAAGCCTCCTCTTGATATATGAGACATTTTATATACTATATATTTAAAGTTCCAGGAGGGCTTGTTAAAAATGTTTTCTTGGCAATAATCCCCGAAGAAAATATATAGTGGTTGATGTTGTTGGTGTTAGTTATATACCAGTTTTTCCCTCCCTCCCTGGTTTTATTTGCTCTGGTTTTTCTTTATAGATGAATACATATTGTTTCCACTACATAAATTTTGTTCTCAGGCAACTTGCCATTTCGGTTCTCCCCATCCTTGATTTTCTCATGAGTCTGTGGATGACTGTCTTCTTTCTTTTTGCACTGTCAGATCCATGCAGCACACAGAGTTGCCCAGGGCATGTTTCTGTCCTTCACTGTCTGGTCTTCCTCGGGCAGTACAGGACAGCATTTGAGAGTTTAGGCACTAGTGGTAAAAGGTCTTGGGTTCAAATCACTACTGCCTTCACTGGCCCTATAATCTTGGGTAGGTTTCCTAACTCTTTGTGCCTCAGTTTCCTTATTTGTGAATAGGAGTTCTTTAGATTTTGCAGCTTACTTGTGTTAATACACATGAAACAAAGCAGTACACAGGAGAAGCAGTGATCGAAGTTTAGCTGTCATTGTACCTACCTACTTTACCTATTCATGGAAGCATCCTTGTCAGTGCCCAGGTCAAGGTTAGAGCCACCCTCTTTTACCCACCAAGCCACTGAGCTTTCTGTTTGCTCCCTGTGCTATACAGCTGTTTCAAAAAACCTTATTTCTACTGGGAAGCTGAATTGGGAGGATTTTAAGTTCAAAGCCAGCCTGGGCAATTTAGCGAGACCCCCCCCCTCAAAATAAAAAATAATAAAGGTTAGGGTATAGCTCAGAGGTAGAACAGTTGCCTAGCATGTGAGGACCTGGGTTCAATCCCCAGGACTGCAAAATAATTAATACTCATTATCATCATCATCATCTTGCTTGTTTCTGTGAGTTTCAAAAACAGTTCATGCTTGTGGTAAATTAAACAGTATCAAAATGTCCAAAGTTAAAAAAACAAATGTGAAGGGAGGGAGAAGGGGAATAGCTAGGAAGGTGGAAGGAGATGGTCATCATTATACAAAATACATGTATGAAGATGTGAATTTGGTGTCAACATACCTTATATACAAACAGAGATATGATAAATTGTGGTATAAAGGTGTATTAAGAATTGTATGCAAAAAAAATGAGAGCTCATGTATAATGGCATAATTTGGTGTGAACACACAGAGTTACAAAAAATTGTCATGTATGTAAGAAATAAATAAAAATAAATAAATAAAAAAAAATAAAAAACAAATGTGCCCTCCCTCCACCCACTTTTATCTCTTGCTTCTAACCATGTGGTGGTCTCCTCCATTCTTTCTTCTATGTGCCTGCAAATACCTACACATGTTCCAAGTACATCCTGGTTTTGTAGTTATTTTGTGTGTTTGGCCACTGCTAAATTCAGTGCCACTTCTTTCTCTTTATCATTTCTGTTCCACTGCATTTGGCTAAGACCCAGAGGCATCAAGCCACCACCCCCATAGGTGACATTGATGGTACTGTGCACTAGTCATACAGTACACAACTTGCTCAAAGCACAACTCAGTTCTGGCCTTGTCCTGTAGAGGCGTAACCTATGCACTCAATCTAGGACCCCTGCATCAGGACCTGTGCTGATCTAGAAGTGAGATAAGAGCCTCTGTTTGAGGAGGTGAGGGGACCCAAGAGAAGCCGGTTCAGTTGTATAGACAATGATTCTTCGTTTGCCTCCCCTCCTCCCCTCACCCCAACTGGAGGAATTCCAGGCCACAGAGGTTCTGTTGTCTGCACAGGTGAATGTAGCCAGCCCCCAGCCTCCTTCCTGACCTGATGGGTGAACAAGCTGCCCAATCTCCTGGCATCCCAGCACCTCTGCCTATGGGAGGCAGTCTGTGAATTCATGTCAGGTTGAAATATGTGGAATGGAAGTGCCAACGTATCCAGGAGTCTACACCCAAGCCACATTTGTCAGCCAACAACTTGCCAAAAACTAGCTGTGTTCATGTATCTGAGGGAGATTTTCTTTTATTTAGGATATAAAGGGGTAGCACAAACACATACCCAAAAAGACTGGCCATAAAGAAGGGAGCGCAGAGAGAAGGGGAGAATTGAGCCCTGCTGGGTGAATTTGGGCAGGGCCAGGTGAATCCTTGTTTGAAATAGTACTTGGAAACTGTGTGGCAATCTATGGTTTCTACTTCCCTCCCTTTTCCTATGTCTTCCAAGTGGCCTTTGGAGATTGTTGGTCCTTGCAGCCAATAGAGGACAAGGCTGGTTAGTTGAAGAGAGACTTCAAAATGTAATGATTCTGTTGTGGTCTCTCTCCACCATGTATCTTTAGCTTATTGAAGATAGAGACCATGAGGTGCCCATCTCCACAGGATGATGAGTGTCTGCTGATGCTGGACCTTAGTAAGTCTCAGTAGGGGTGTCACTCAAGGCATGAAAAGAGAGGCCAAGCAGCAGTCTGGAGTTCAGCTGTGATTGTGGTGCAGCCCCACCCTTCTCCTTTTTGTGGTAGTTGAGGGTTGGCTGTATTAAATTATGACCAATGTGAAGTTAAAAGAATGATTCCAGAGCCACAAAAAAAGTCCAGTAAACCCTCAAAGGATGAGTTCAAGAGCAGAATCCATCAAGCAGCAAATGTGTTCTGTGTAGGTGGAGGCGGATGCCTTCATGGGCACAGCTCACGTAGCCAGAGCACAGCTGCTGTGGGACATCAGGGCCTCTCTGGTGGGTTTCTGACATCCTCTGCTTTCCTACCTTTCCCAGGGCGGTATCTGTGTCCTCCATGTCTGAATTCCAGCGCTTGATGGATGTCTCCCCCTTCCTGCCTGAGAAGGGCCTGCCATCTGCCAGTAGCAAAGAAGATGTCACCCCACCCCTGTCTCCTGATGATTTCCGCTACATTGAAGAGTTCAACAGCAAGAGCTGGGACTACACACCCTCCAGGACTGGGACAGAGAGGCCTCCGGACCTCTGGACAGACAGGACCGAGGGGGTGCGGGCAGGGCATGAGGCCAATGCAGAGCCTTTCTCTGATTCTTCCTGGTACCTGACCACGAGTGTCACCATGACCACAGATACCATGACCAGCCCAGAGCACTGCCAGAAGCAACCACTGCGGAGCCACATCCTCACTGAACAAGCAGGGGTGCGCGTGCTTCACAGCCCACCTGCTGTCCGCAGGGTTGAGAGCATCATGACAGGTGGAGAAAGCAGGAGCCGACTGGAACCCGAGGGCCCCTTTCCCACGAGCAGAGTCAGAGGGGGCCTGGGAGATGTCAAGGGAGGTCATCCAGAATCTGTGCTCAGCAGGTGGCCTTGTGCCTCCTCTAGACATACCCGAGACTATGTGGAGGGGGCTCTCTGCACCTCCCTGGGGTTTGCCTCCCCATTGCACAGCCTGGATATGTCCAAGAACATGAGTGATGACATGAAGGAGGTAGCCTTCTCTGTCAGGAATGCTATCTGCTCTGGTCCCAATGAGCCACAAGTCAAGGACATGGCCTGCCAGACCAATGGGTCCCGGACAACAGGGACACAAACTGTCCAGACCATTAGTGTGGGCCTACAGACTGAAGCCCTTCGTAATAGCGGTGTCACCAGCAGTCCCCATAAGTGTCTCACGCCAAAGGCTGGGGGTGGTGCCACACCTGTGTCCTCCCCTTCCCGTAGCCTGAGGAACAGGCAGGTGGCCCCCGCCATAGAGAAGGTACAGGCCAAGTTTGAGCGTACCTGCTGCTCTCCAAAGTATGGTTCTCCCAAGCTGCAGAGGAAGCCCCTTCCCAAAGCCGACCAGCCAAATAGCAGGAACTCACCAGGGGTGGCCCAGAAAGGGTACAGTGAGTCAGCATGGGCCCGTTCCACCACCACTAGGGAGAGCCCCGTGCACACCACCATCAACGATGGTCTCTCCAGCCTCTTCAACATCATCGACCACAGCCCTGTGGTGCAGGACCCCTTCCAGAAGGGGGCACGGGCTGGGAGTAGGTCTCGCTCTGCAGAACCCAGACCAGAGCTGGGCCCAGGCCAAGAAACAGGAACCAGTTCCCGAGGAAGGTCACCCAGCCCCCTTGGGACAGGCTCAGAGACGTGCAGGGAAGAAGGGGGAGAGGGCACACCAGTGAGGCAGGACTTATCCGCTCCCCCTGGCTATACACTCGCTGAGAGTGTGGCCCGGATCCTCAACAAGAAGCTGTTGGAGCATGCCTTAAAGGAGGAAAGGAGGCAGGCCACCCACGGCCCCCCAAGTCTTACCAGCGACAACCACGTAGGAGAAGCAGTCATGGCTGAACCAGGGTCCATGGAGGTAAAGAATGAAATGTTTCCTGCTCTTCCATTTAGCTGCCAGGCACATGGGAATCTGGGATGGATTTGGGACAGTGATTTCAGGAATCACTGTCAATGATGGTGAACTGGGGAAATGGGTTGGGGGTTAGGGAGTATGAAAACACAGACCCCAAGCAACTTCTTAAAGAAAATCTCATCTTACTCTTTTCAAAATCATCAAGGACATGGTTTGGTTCAGATTTCATCCTTTAAGTGATTTTTCTTATCTGTTTATCTGGGCTTTGCACCCGGGTCATAGTTTGCCCTCTTTGTGCATGTCATGGGTGAAAATTGAATTGTGTGTGTGTATCTGTGTCTCAGGACTTTTACATGCTACAGATATTTGTATGTGGCAATGTAAAAGGTGAGTTGGAGGGCTTTTGAGCCACGTGGACATGAGCACATCTTCTATCAGGAACTGCAAGAACAATATTTGGATTCCCTGGCTGACTTCAGTACAGAACAGCAGTCTGGCATCTCACAAATCACCTTTTTGTGTCTGTGAACCCCTCTAGCAATAAAATAAGGATAAGATCAAAATATCTGCCTTAGTACAATATGATGATGATGATTGTCCCCCCTCAAAATCACTTAGAAATCAATCAACCCTGAATTCTGTTCTGATACATATCCCCAGGTGGTATTTTTGCATCATATCACTATAAAAAATAATTCCCATTTCCATACCAAGAATGAGCAAAATGAAGCAAATAATATGATAATGCTGGTGGTGACTGTAGTGTTGATGCCAATTTTATGATTTACGCAGACTGAAAGGACAGTGCTGCCCCACAGGTGGCCATGTGTATGTGTGACACTTGCCACTGTTCCTAAGTCACCAGGAGCCCAGCTATGCACATGCTATACTAGCCTTCTCTAGGCCCCTGTCTCTCACAACAGTAAGGGGGGTCAGGGAGGACAGCCATATGCTCCTGGGCCGCCCCACTGCTTTTTGGCCACCACCAGGCAGCCTGGCTTCATGGGAGAGAATAGAAGGAAGGTTTGTTTCTGGGATCGCCTGCCTTACATTTCCCCTGGGGAGAAAATGGGTAGATCCCAGCCCAACCCACCAAGGAATATTTAACACAAAATATTATAGAGTTTAAATCTAAAATAGGACAAAACCTGTACAATTGCCAATGACCTACAGAAATGGTTCAACCTTATACAGTTATTGCTAGTATGTGGCCTACTGGTCCAAAGGTTTGAGTCTTGGGATAAAGTTGTTTACACCCTCTGTTTGACTGTTCTTGGGTGACAAATAATGTCTTCTTTGATCTTCTCTTTCCTCAAACCTTCAGGAGCCCTCAGGTAAGCACTTGAGGCTTGGGAGGGTCATTATATGTGAATACCTTGCCTTCTCAGGGCTCTGGAGAAATGGGCTCAAAGCATTGTTAACTGGCTTTGTCTGTAGTTTCTACTTGTATTAGAGAATAAACAGAAATTAGTTTTCAGGCACCAAAAAAAAAAAAAAATGCTTTGATTTACTAACACTGAATGCTGCAAGCAATCTGTGGTAACATAAAGAAAGAGGTTTAATGACAGAATCACAGCATTGTGGCATGCAAGTGGTTATGTCAGTGCAAAACTGTCCTCCTTTGTCCCCTGTGAACCCTGCAACTAGATTTTCTCTTCCTTAGTGTGTTTGCCACCAAACAAGGTGATTCAATGGGAGCATTTCCAGGACTCAGAACCTGTGTGGAGACTGGGCAGCACTTTGATGCCCTGGGTTCTTTTTTGCTTTTCTGTTACAAGTTTGCTTGGTTCTAGATTCTGGTAGAATTTTTCTGTTTGAATTGACGTAACATATTAGGAGCATTGGTGATCCCTTCCCTTCTCTCCATGGATTATGTAGTAGCTCTAGGTTTTCATTCCCAAATCAGAAGATGCTGATTTCTCATTCTGATTTCCCAGCCCACTCTGAGCACCCTGCTATGGAATCTTTCCTGAACGTACACTCAGACATCTAGACACAGGGGTGACTCGGGCAGCAGGACGTGTCCCTTCTTGCTTCCCACTCATCCCACAGGTGACATAGTCTTCCTCTTCTCTTGAAGCCATGGCCATCAGCTCAACAATGCAAAGAGAAGCTGGGAGGGGGAGTTCCGGTGTGAAGAGAACCAATGATCTTGGAGTGGAAAATGGGAGGGAGATGACTTAGCACAGTTGTGACCAGAACAGACCCAACTGTGGAGTGGCCTCTATCATTTCCAGCACAACAGCCGGGCCACTTCCACTTCTGTTTGCCAAATGCTCATGGGTAGCTCAGGGAGCCTGGAAACCAGAAGGGAGGTCCAAGGCTCTTTGGTGGGTTCTTCTTCTCTCCGTAGCACTTGGCAGAGGACAGCCTGTGTCGAAGTACTGCTGCTACTGCCCCAACCCCATCTCGGAGTGAATGTGGGGGACCTCAATTCCATCCTGGTGGCTGTCCACAGGCAGGAACTTTGCCCCTCTTCCACTGTGCTCATTGACTTTTACTATTCTGTTTGAAACGTACTTTCAAACCTACTTGCTTTTCTCTTCTTTGTCTGTCTAGAACCAAACTGTCTTACTAACTGCCCCATGGGGACTCTAGCCCTGCCGCCTCACGCTGTAAGTGCCTTCTTCCTCAGTTCCCAACTGTCTCGAGAGAGTCATGTGTGTAATTTGTGTAACACGTAGTTGGTGTCTGACACTCATCATCATGGGGTGGGGGGCGTCTGCTCCATGCTAACCCCAGGATCATTTGGGCCAGCTTATTTCCAGGCACAGCCTAGGAATCTCAGATGCCCCATTCACCCCGTTCTAGGGTTGATGCTTAATGTCAAGAGAGGTTGTTGAGTTATAGAGATTCTGCTGAGACTTCTCCTCTCTTTGTGTAGCCAACATGCTTTCATAGGAGAGAGCCACTGGTCAGGAGGGGACATCTCAGCCACAAGACTCTTGCCTGAGGAGGTCTTTGAGTCCAGCCTCTGTTAGATCTGTAGCCCTGACCACCGGCTCCTGCCCTCCCTGCTCACTGGCGTTTTGGTTGAGCATGTGTGTTACCGTATGCTGAAATGAGGTGGGACCATAATGTGCTGGGACTTTTCTTTTATTTTCAAACAGTCCTGCCAGAAGGAATAACCCCAAATGTATTTTGTCCTTCAGATGAGACAGAGTAAGTGCTTGATAAATACTTGTTGAATAAATAAAACAACCAAGCTATCCCTGCTCTACGTGTCTCAAAATGGCCTTTTGAGACCTGAATTGAGCAAAGCATATGGGAAAACATACTCTGATTTTACTTGAGGATATGGACACTCACACCTCATCCACTGGCCTAAATCTAAACTGTGGAGTACCAAACTATAGTCAGCTATCAGAGGTAAAAACTAGTCCCTGGGGAAAAAAAATGACAAAGTACATGAGAAAGCCATTTACAAGATGGATGCTTCCAGGGCAGCATCACAGGACAGAGGCCTATGTGGCCATCATGGTGGCTTTTGAGGAAAAGGAAACATTGCTTGCTTGTAAGTGCTGGTGTGGAAGTAAGGAAGACCTCATGGTTACACAACATTTCTTCCTTTATAAGCAGATGCCACTGAAGAGGTGGTGCATCATGGTCTAAGAAGAGCCCATTTTTGTTCAGCAACAGTCAGGTGGGAACAGGTGCTAACTACAGCTACAGCAGCAGCTTTACCAACATGCAGCACACACAACAGATGTATGCACAGTATACAACGACACAACACTCACTACTCTTACAATAGTGCAAGCAGAGAAGAACTGTAGCAGATTTTCCAAACCATGTGTACCCCAGTATCAAGCAGGTGGGCCCAGGTGGGCTCGGTAAGCACATGGCATCCTGGCTTACTTTTTATCTCAGGGGCACCAGTGGTGTGCCAGCAAAGAGGACAGTCTGCTTGTCATGGTCCCATTATCATAAGTGCGTTGCCCATGAAGGCCCTTTCTATGTCTTATAAGGTGCCAGCCACAAAGTAGGCAGGGACCCTGAAGAAGTGATCTCCGGTGTTAATGTTCCTTTTGTGCTGATCCCACCAGGGAATCTGTGGGTCCCACACTGTCCTTGGGCCGAGCCATCCTCACTGGCCAACTCCACACATCCTCCACGTGTTCCGTCTTCTCCCGAGTGGCATTGCCTACCCATTCAGCACAACCATCTGTCTTTCCCCTGTTGCTGTTCCCCTACTCCCGTGGCTAATCTGTCATTCTGGTCTTTTTAGTTGCTTGTCACGTCTTTAAATCCAAGTCTCTTGCTGATTTTCTTTGTGGATCCTTGTTCTGTGTCATCCTTCCTGTGCCTTCCATTGAAGTAATTCACCTCTCGGCTTTCTGTGAGTGTCACTTGGGTTCCCCGCTGTATCACTGTTTCCTCATACCATAGCTGTTTACATTTCTGTATTTCAGCAACTTCCAAGATTGGGTATCCTTTTTCTTTAACATTGCACGCTACAGACAAGTAGCTCAACATTCTTTAAAAACAAAAAGTACCTTGAGAATAAGGTTTAGAGGTGATTTGCATCAAGGTTGAGCGTGTCTTGTATGATCAGTTCTCAGAACATCAGGGTGCCTGGAACACAAAATCACAAGTGCACTCTGATACCAATTTGTAAAAATGCTGCTACATTTAAGAGTCATTAAAGACAACTAGAACTCAATTAAAATTTCTGCCGGCAGCATTTTTTCCATGTCGTGGGAGTTTGTTTTGCCCACTGCCAATCAACTTGGAATAAACAGTAGCAGAGCTTGTTTCAAGACAAGTCTTACTGTTAATCTGGTGGGCTGAAAGCATAGTTCTCTTCCTGGGCCCCCAGTAGATCTGGTTGACTATACCTAAATCGTTCATTAAAGAAGGCCAATGGTGGGGTCAGCTTAGTGGGATTCTGCCAGGGTATGTACAGTTGCTCTCCTTGGTCTTCTGCATGTCCTAGCCCAATTCTGGAGGGGCTCTGAAAACAGGCCCATCTCACAGCTTTGCCATTTCATTCTTAATCTGGTATCTTCCCATTCACATCACTGATTTCCCCTGTTTGAGTTCTTTCACCGATCATTTTAAATTATTTTCCATGAGCAGAATATTCATTCCTGTTCAGAAGTCGTCCATGGTCTCTTCCATGTAGCTTAAGACTGTTGGGAAAAGGGGGGGAATTATCCACTATGAAACTACTGACCTCAGTAATGCTGTCTCCCCTTTCTCGGTTCTGAAGGAACTGCCTTGCCCTGCGCTAGCGCCATCCCTAGAGCCCTGCTTCTCCAGGCCCGAGAGACCAGCAAACCGTCGTCCTCCATCCCGTTGGGCAACACCTTCTCCCACTGCCTCACAGTCTCAGCCACCCGGAGACCAGACCTCCTTGGAGGAACACGGTGATGAGGATCCCCTGGAGGAAATGCCACACCCGTGATGCAAGCTTGCATGGATTATCACAGAATAATTCACTGTAATTTGCATAGCCACACCATCTTCACAACCAAACTCTGCCCCAAAGGAGAGATCTAGTTTTCTCAAGGTCAAAGAATGTTTTTTTTTTTTAAAAAAAAAACACACAGCTGCTGAATGTCCAAACCTGTGAAACTGAGATGTTTCTAGAATGAAACAGCAAATGTGCCTGTAATAACTTAATTTTTTTCATAGCTCAGAAAACTATTTTTGTCTCCATCTTTTTTACACACAGTATATTAAAAAAAAAAAAAGAAAAACAGGTAAATATGGTATAAATAGATATAAAATATAAAAGTTTTAAAAAATGTACATTTTAAGAGATTCTGAACACCCTTGCTCTCAATCCTGACTGCCTCTCTGTTAAATTTGCACTGTTCTGTTTTGGTTGGGTTTATCTCCATGTTGAACTTAGAGTGTTTTAAGTTAATTTTATTTTGTCAATGTTAACAATTTTTTAGGAATTTTTAAAAATGCTTCAGACTGTCTGATTCAGTGAACTTTTTGTAGTGAAAAAGCCATGGAACCAGTAGACAAGACAGATGTTCTGGAAACTGGAGGGATGCAGGTCAATGTTTTTGAGAAGGCACAGAATCCTCAGACGGGCGTAGAAAATTCACTGTATAGTCTACATATTAGTCTGCCCGAGTGCACGTCTTCGGGTGCATGTACATATGCTGCTGTCCTCTCCCTCACCTAAGTGTGTGTCCGTCTGGCCCACTGTAATTGTGAAGTTCCTTGTACTGTACTATTATCGTTGGTCCCCTTGCATTGATGAGATAACAGCACCATTTTAAAATTATTGTTAAAAGATTAACCGGCAATGTACAGAATTTTCTTGTTTAAGGAAAACACTGCAAAATCATGAGGATACCAAATTGAGACAAACGGTGGTGCCTCTGAGTCTGTCTGAGACCATGATGAAGTAGAAATAAAAGCCTTTTTGAGATGGCGGTGTGCTCTAAGGTCTCAGGTTTCACATGCCCTCCGTGTCTTCCTGAGAACGCCAATGGAAAGTTTTCTGTAGCCAGGGGGATGGTGGGGAGGGGCTTGTGCAAAAAGCAAACAGCTGGTCATACGTCTCATTGGGATGTCTCACTGGGATGCACCCTTGCACATGATCACATTGCAGTTCTACAGGACTCTGGGAGGGTCCCTAGGTAAGGGAATGCCTTTATTCTCATTGCAAAAGCCCAAACTGGGAAGAGGATGGGAATTTGAGGAAACGGTTACCTGCAAGTCAATGTGGCAAGCCTCTGTCCCCTCCACTCAGGAAAGAGGGAGTGGCCAGTAGCTCCAGGACAGGCAGTTCCCTCTCTGGCAGTGAGATGTAGCCCAAGCTGGTGGTATCAGTTAGAGGTTAGCGCAGGGGATTACAAAGGAGTGTGCTGCCCATAAGTCCAAAAAGAACTATTTCAGCCACAGCTTCTGACTTCAACGTTTCATTAACCCAACAGTTTTCTTATGTACATGAACAAGTGGAGTAAGTCCTAATCCCAGCATGACCACAGTTCCACCTTTAAGCATATACTTTTAAAAAACAAATGTTTGAGCATATGGAGAAATGGGAGCCCTCCTGTACTGTTGGTGGAAAAGTAAATGGTCCAGCCACTACAGAAGGCAGTATGGCAGCTCCTCACCAAACCAGAATGATTAGATGATCCAGCTACCCCCCTACTGAATGTATATCCCACCCCCACAAATTGAAATAAACTCAGATACTTGTACACCAATATTCATTGCAGCATTATTCATGAAGATTATGAATAAGGTGGAAACAGCCCATCGTTAGGTGAATGGATAAATGAAATGTAGTTATATATACACAGTGAAATATTTTTCAACCTTGGAAAAGAAGGAAATTCTGGCATCTGCTACAGCATTAATGAACCCTGAAAACATGATACCAAGTGAAATAAACCAAGTCACAAAGATTTTGACAATTATTATATATTTCCACTTATATGGGGAACTAGAGTAGTCAGATTCATAGAGAAGAAAATAGAATAGTGGGTGCTAGGGATTGAGGACAGGAGGGAATGGGGGAGTTCGTGTGTAATAGGTATAGAATTTCAGTTTAGGATGACCAAAAAAAGTACTGGAAATGGATAGTGGTGAGTGTTGCCCAGCCATGTGAATACACTTGATGCCACTGAGTTGTACTTTTGAAAATGGTTCAATTGGTAAATGTTACACATATTTTACCACTTTGAATGCAAAAGACAGATATTTAATCATTCTAGACATAGCTACAAACCACCTATTAACAAATTGGTTAGTTTTGAAGGGACAGAGGATATAGTTCAGTAGAGCATTTACTTGCTTATCGTGTGTGTGTGTGTGTGTGTGTGTGTGTGTGTGTGTGTGAGAGAGAGAGAGAGAGAGGTGCCCGTGGTAAATGCTCCAGGTGCATCAACATTCTTTTAGTTGGAAGAACCAGCCAATTAGGAAGGAAGTTATTGGTTCTCATAACCGAGCCTCAAACTATGCCACCAGGATTCTAGTTAGTCTTCTGACTCTGCTGTGTGATATTTTATTGTTAGAGAAACATTCCAACAACAGTAAACCCTAACAGCTCCTATTCATCTGGAAATTTCTGGGGAAAGGAGATCTCTTACCAGGAGCTCCAGCAAAAGCCCAAGGCTGATGATCCTCATTGGTCTAGAGAAAGTCACATGTCTGGCTTTGATCCAATTACAGTGTCAGGTTGACCCAGTGAAGGAAAGTGAGATGCTATCTGAATAGAGGGGAGAACATGCCTGGAAGGTAGTGGGAACCCTAAAAATTTCAAGAACAAGCTATGGCCACCAGAGATCTTGCCATATGGTTGGAGGAGATAAAATTCCCAGGCAAAACAAAAGAAATGCAAAAATGGTATGGTAGAAATTTCAAGTACAGTAGGATTTGGATAAGCAGCATTTCAACTTGGAGGGAGGCATTAATAAGCACGGTCACATGAGGCAGTGACACACTAACTGGGCTGGTTGCAGAACTTTGTGTGACCAGAGCCACAACAGGCACACAGTACCTTGAGAACTGCTTTGGAATTTCTAATAATTGGACAAGAATTCTTGAGTCTGTATTGTGAAGCCACTCCAACTTTCTAAAGCAAGGCAAGACAGTAGGATGAAATCATTTTCCACTGTCCTGTCCAGATAAATGCTGAGACAGCTCCTTGGGTCCTACGTGGCTGCAAAGGCAGAGCAGCTGCCTACAGGGAACAGCCCACAGGAAGTGTCTGTTCATGTCTCCAGGAGCTGCTATTCATGGGCCAGTTGCTTTTATGTCCTAAGGAAAGATGCAGCAGATTCCTCAAAGAGCCACAACCCTGAAACTGCAGTCATTGCGGGGGTGGGGCGGCGGTGTCACATTCCATTCTCTCCTTTCTTCCGATTACCAAAAGGTAATTTGTTATACTAAGGTTTTGAGTATTATGAGTCTATTTTATGTACATCATAATTCTAATTATTAGTAAATCTATTTGTTTCACCTTTTTTTTCTTTCTGTGGAACAACCTCTGAAATTTAAAAATACCTAATTTTATTTTTAAAATTAATTTATGTTTAAAGTAAATTAACATATCCATCATCTCATATAGTTATCCCTCCCTTTTGTGGCAAGAGCGCTTAAAATCTACTCTTTTAGCAGACATTCTAAATGCAACACAGTACTATTGTTTTTGTGTAGTTCATTAGATCTCTAGAGAAGCTTGACAGAGTTCTACATATTTATCAAAAAGTGGCTGAAATGCAGAACTACCATTTTCCTATTCCTAATTCATTGCTTTCAATTGTGGTACCATACACATGTTATAAAATTGACTATTTTGATCACTTGACAGAGTGCCATTCGGGGATAGTTCTTTCACGGTGTTATGCAACCACCACCACTGTCTTCTTCCAGAGCACTGTCATCACCCTAAGGGAAACCCCAAAGGCACTGAGCCGTCACTCCCCCTAGCTCCTGGCCCCACTAATCTACTTCCTGCCTCCATGGGTTTGCCTATTTAGGAAATTTCCTATTAGTGGCTATTTCATATGCCATGTGGCCCTTTGTGTCTGGCTTCTTGCACTTACCATGAAGTTTTCAAGGCTGTTCCCTGTTGCAGCGTGTATTGACTTCATTCCTCCCTCTGCTGGATAATATCCCAATGGGTAGCTGGGCTGCATTTTGTTTATCCAGGCAGAAGTTGATGGTGTGTGTCTAGTTTTAAAACAAAAGAAACCCTTTGGTAAGCTTACTTTACACAGCCTTGTGCTCCTCCCCTAAAAAGGTGACTCACCACGAATAATCCGAGCACTAGGCAATCCCTTTACACCACTGAGCACTTTAGAGTCCTTCATCCTCCTTGGTTCAAGGGCCCACCATGACAATCCTTGTCATGGTTTTCTCTGATTGCAATAGGCCTGTCAGCACCATTCTTTGAGTGCAGCGTGCATCAGAATCCTGTATAGCAGACAGCACAGGCTCGGAGTCAAAGACAGTTTGCTTGAATGAATTTGATGACACCGTGTTTTTAGCACACTCCAGGCCCCTAGAATATGTGTGCCTCTGCAACTCAAAAATCTGTATTGGAGTCGTGGTTCAGACACTGAAAGAAATACAACCTCAAGTCGTCTCTTTAAGACCAGGGATTTTTTGTGTTTCTACTGGGTGACTGCATATGTGTGAATCCAAGAACAATTATTAATGTTTCACCTCTTATTTTATTTTCACAATTATCACACTATGCAATTTTTTTGAAGCTTCATACTTCACTTTACAGTGTATCCTCCAATACTCTCAAAATAACATATGTTTTTTCTTATTTTTAACAGTGCTATGCTAATATCTTAAATCTTAAATGTCCCTTGAAGCTACATGTGCTAAAGAATTAATACACACTGTGGTGACACTGGGACATGTTGGGACATTAAAGATGTGGGACCTAGTGGGACATCTTTAGGCCATTGGAGGCAAACCCTCTAGGTGATTCGGGGGACCTGGCCCCTCCTTCTTTCTCCCTATGATTCCTGGTCATTTGGTTGACAGTTTTACTCTACCATGATGTCCTGTCTCCCCCTCAGACCAAAAGCAATGGGGACAACTGACTAGGGACTGAAACCTCCAAAACCATCAACTAATTCTGGAAAGGTGGACAACACCTATAATTCCAACCTATAATTCTGGAGCCTGAGGAAGGAGGGTCACAAATTCAAAACCACCTGAGCAACTCTGTGTGACAGTATCTCCAAAAATAAAGAGAGTTGGCAAACAAGTTAAGTGGAGAAGATCCCTGGATTCAACACACAGGCCATCAACACAAAAAAAAAAAAAAAAAAAAAAAGACCTTAAAATAAGCCTCATCACAGCTATTAGATTGTGTGTGTGTGTGTGTGTGTGTGTGTGGGAAATTAACACAGCTAACTTGATAACTTTATGTGAGCCTTCTTATCTGGGGATTCAGTGTTCTGTAAGAAAGCATAGAATTGTCCTGTGAAAACATCTAGAAGCAGAATTGCTAGGCATCTGCCACTTCCATCAACATTCCAAGTGACTGTCCAAATAAGACATTCCCCCTTTTAGAGTTGCTATTTTTCCACCTATTCTCATTCCACCAGTCTCATTATATGAAGAAAGATGTTTACAAAATAAAGATTTGCATGCAAAAAAAAAAAAAGACCGGGGATGAAAAATAGCAACAAGAACACATGCTTCCTGGGGTTAGAATTAAGGTACTTTGTGTACCTACTGTGGAGGGGACATTCTGATAAGAATTGCAAACACTGGAGGTGAACAGAAAAGACAGGCTCTCTCTTTGATGGGACCTGTATTCTAGCTACGGGAAACATGGTACAAACAGGAAAGTGGCAGAGAGCAAGAGACTCTTTCTGAGCCAGGCTTATTTGCCTGCCGCCCAGTATGCCAATCCCTGAAGCTGCGAATTTTGCAAGAGTTTACTCATGAAGCAACCAAATAGGAGGAGGGGTACCCCAGACTCAATTTTCTACCTTCTAGAGGATAGGATTTCGGGGTAGTTTTGGGATGAAGAAACAGGGTGGGGTGGGGAAAGGTAATTGGAGGTAAGGAAAAGTGAGGTGATCAGTGGTCTGCAAATGTGTAGTTGAACTTCATGGCTCTTCACAGAAAAATGGCAGTCTTAGCATGACCTGAGGGTGGAGGTTTTGGCTCTCTGATGTCAAAAGATTGCCCATCAGATATTATACAGGCCCAAGTGAAAGGGTTGATGGCTTCAACTAGTTTGAGCTACTTTTTGGGGATTTTAGCTCCAAATCCCTAAAAACAAAGCATTAACAAGCTGACCACCCATCAGAGCTGTAAGACTAGCAGGGCTCTATTACCTTACTGTTTAGTTAAGCGACTTCTAAAACTGTGATAAAAGCAGGTAACTAAGCTCAAGTGAAAATAGAGAGTTTATTCAGGTTTTTTTTTGTTGTTGTTGCTTTTTTTTTTTTTTTTAATTTCAGAAGAAACAACATGCTCTTTGGTTTGGAGGGAAAAGTCTAAATTTTTATCTTTCTTGTAAGAGAAAAAAATTATAATTTTCATAATGGGGACTCTGTTACGTGACTAAGAGACTTTACTGGGGAGATGCCATTTGCCTGGAGGCTTGAACAAAAAGACACTGTCAGCCAGGCAGAAGGAGTAGCCTGTGCAAATATTCTGGAGAGGTGGATGTGAGCTTGGTGTGTTCCACGAAGTGAAAGAAGGCCACTGTGGCCAGAGCAAGGTG